GAACAAATTTGGGTTTCTACCAAGAAGCTTGGGTCTACTTTGATGTCATTAGACTTAATATGTGTTTCTGGGCTGCCCACCCCAGGCAACACCATTCTAGACCTTCCAATTTCATCCATGCTGCAAACAAGCAATGCAACAGTTTTTTGGAATCTATGATGATAAAGCTGAATAATTTGTGGCCGTTTGTGGATGCATTTGGAAAGTAGAAGTGGTAGACATGAGTAGGTAGAGTGCTAGAAAAAGTAAGTTTCTACCAAGCAGCTTGGGTCTACTTTGATATCATTGGACTTTTTTTTGTGCTTGTGGGCTGCCTAACCCAGGCAACACCATTCTAGACCTCCTCATTTCATCTATTCTGCAAACGAGCACTGCAACAGATTTTGGAACGGTCTATGATGATAGAGCTCAATGATTGGTGGCTGGATTTCACAGAAGCCGTGAGGTAGACATGAATAGGCAGTGAGAAAGAAAGTAGGCTTCTACCAAGTAGTTTGGGTCTACTATAATGTCGTTGGAAAGGCTATGTGTTTTTGGCGCCCACCCCACGTACAGTCACACCGTTCTAGACCCCATCACGTTGGCCTCCTGCAAGAAAGCATGAAGATTTTGACGCACGTGGCAGAAGAGGGAAAGCAAGCAAAGACGGAGGCAACAAAGGGTTACAAGAGAAAAGTGAACGCGATGCTACATCATGGGATTTGGGGGCTCAATATCCCTGGTGAACTGGGATGAGCTGGGTGCATGTGATACCAAGGGTCTAAACACAAATAATTCAAACTTCCAAGCCGGCATAACCTGCCGCAACATCGGTAACACAGGGCCAAAAGTTAACCTGAATAGCCCAGGGTCTTGGATGCCTCATGTTACAGGGTCTACTTTGGGTATGAACATAGAAAAGACCCTGCATCCAGGAGTCCTGAAGGGGTACCCATCCAAGACCCCAAGTAGTTGAGGGGATTATATAGATAGATATATGAGCTTCATTAATTTCATTAGAATTCATTCCAATTCCTCCTGGAAAATGGGGTGCAGCGAAAACCGGACATTGAGCATTTCACTCCTCCACCACGTTTCTTCTTGGTGTTTGCCCAGCCCCTACATGATTAAAATCTCCGCGCACCTGCTGTGGGAACCCCGCCATAGCCGTAGGTAGCACCCAAACCATTTGTGGCTCCGCCGTTCCACCTCCGTCACTGGATGATCTTCCGATTTCATCCTATTTCTATGGATACCTTGCACATGGCAGCCACAGTTGAGAGGAGACCCCTTGGAAATATATGACATATTGATGATCTGAGACAACTCCTGACAGGGCCTTTCCCCGTAGTCTTTGTGGATCTTTGTGCTTCGCTACATCATGCTATATCTGTATCCGCTATATTTGCTGCATCCCAATAGCTTATACCATCATTGCTGGCCACTTCCTGTTCCCTATTGCCACGTCTACGCCCTCCTATCTAAGTCTTGCACATTTTCCCGTTTGGGGATTAACATGGTGTAACCACCACGAAGTGCTGGTGACCCCTCCAAAATGAGAAAACAATAGGACAAATATGAACATATCATAAAACATATGCTGTTGGTGGACTCGTTGATCCATGAAAACACATATGAACATATCAGTGATATAAATTGATATCACATACATAGCGATCTGATATTTGATATCACAAGGAATCACAATCTAAGCCCCCTGCGGTGGTGGCTCTCTAGAACGAGCCCGGGGTTGAATCCCGTTCTGATGACCTGCCCAGCTGGAGCAACGGCAACTGCGTGATGCTACACATGCCTTGATATCATGGATGCTACACACATGAATACATCATGACAATAAGACAATAATGACATATATATGATATATGACATATTTGTATATAGAACTGTGATATATCTCATTTAGTATTTTATGTTCATATATGATATATATATATATGTCTATCTGATCCTATATGCACATATTACATTATATTACCATGTCAAGACTGTTTACACAATGGATTGCTTGTGGTTCCGGAGCCAATTGGGCCGCATGCCGCACCTTGATAGCCCATAGGCGACAAAGACCGCCGGTCAGATGGCGTCCTGGGTGAAACATGGTGAAACATGGTGAAACGCGTTTCATTCCAAGGGGGAGCAACAAATCAGAAATCATCAGAAATCAAACATAAAAAAACAATGATCTGACCGCTTTGGAGACCACTTTATACTACCGAAATCCAAGTGGTTCGGCTCTTCACAGCAGCTAATACTCAATGTCCAGCCTTCAAACCGGATGGAATGGACTTCAGGCTACACGGATGCCAACTGAACAACGGGCCCCCCGACGGGGCTTGTGAGCCAGCACGAGATGGCCTTCAACGGCTTAAGGCCGTTTGGATGCCAGGGTAAATGATGTAAATGGATGGACGGAGGGATGGGAAATGATGGGTAATGATGGGAAGCTGGCAATTCATAACGAATAAAGTCATGGAGTCTGACTTCCACCTGTCCAGAAAAAGCTGAGGCAGGAACACCCATTGCCGGTTCGGAGGTGGCATCTCAGTCAACGAGCAACATCCAAACCCCGCCACTTGCCTATGGCTCAAAAATGCTCAACATTTGGATATCAAGGGCCACAAAAATCACAAAAAGGCTTAGGTCATGTTTAGCTAGCATTGGCAATTTGGCAATGATGAGTGGATTGATCGTGATATCATGATATTCATTTCTGTGGCGATCTCTCCAATGGCCACTGGAGCTAAGTGGCAGATCCGGCACGGGCACCACAAGCACCAGTGGAAGCCAGAGGTCCTTGGAGAAACGTGGGCGAACCGTGGGCTGCCTCGTGGCGCCCCGACGAAATGGCAAAATTTGGTTCCTGGTACCATAGTATCATAGTTGTTCGTAGTAGAATGACGGTAAATCTACCATGTTATCCATGTTTTATCATGCTTTCCTGATATTTTCTGTTGAACATCACTGATGCATGTTTATCATGTTTTAGAGGGCACAAATGCTATTGGAGCTGCTACGTCGACAACGTCCTGGTCACTCTTACACGTGTGATCGCTGATTCATGATTCAACTGAGAGTTTCTAGTGGACATTGATTGGCTACAAAAAATATGCGTAATCCATTTCCAGTACTGTAACACTTTAAATGCCCCAAACGAAACCCTGGCTTAGTCTATTAGACTCAGTCAGGGGTCCCTCATTAGCGGTAGTTACTTTCAATACTTTTAGATCTAGGGTGATGGGATTATACCTGGTGACTATTTGGTAGGATTACATCGGGAAAAAAAAACAATCATAAAGCATTCCGAAAGCATTCCACAAGCATTCCGCGATTCTATCAGGAAATGAATGGTATGAACCACTTGAGAACCTGACATTGGATGTTGATTATTTAGGGTTTACCATGGTTGATCCACATATTTATCCATGTTGATCCAAGGCAAGAGGCTCACCAACTCATGTCGCCCGGAGCAGCGGGCCAGCAGCGCTAGAAGCCTTCGAGCCTTGTGCAGCAAGGAAGGCCTTGAAAAATGGGTCAATGCATGTATCAAATGGATCAAATGAACCCACTGCTCCCTGGAGTTTGCCGACATCTTGCTCGATTCTTCTGCTAATCATCCCGATTTGTTCCAGGCATTTAATGATGACTTGACCCCAAAAATCTTCCTTAGATGTCTGTTGCCACTTCTGATTCTTGTTGGTTAAACTAGCAATCCCTGAAACGCCTTAAACCCATTTCAACCTAAGTTTTGCTACATCAACATGCTTAAAGGACCTTAAAGGATCTTAAAGGCTTAAACCATGCTAACTCCCATCTTTGTTATTCTTTGTTGGTTGTTTTAACATGTTTTAACCATCCATCCCTACCTGCGGCCCCATGTTGCCCACCTGCAGGGTAGTGAGGTCGAGATCGCAAATGCCTCGCAACTGCTGTACAGCTGCCGTGTAGGGCGGCCTTGGAAACATTTCTTCGGACAATCCTGGAGGTGAAGGGATTGAGCAACCAATGAGGGATGCAAATCATCCCAAAAATGGAGATTGAATGATATTGCTAATGGGATGTTAAGGATTTTGACCAATTCAAATGGATCCAAATCAAACAATAATCAGAAAAACGGTCAAAAACTGATGCAACATGATGGAACGAACCGGAAATGAAACGGCAAGTATGAAGATTGGATGAGCGAAATGGAGACTTAACTAACCAAACATGGGACTCCAAGTAGCAAAAGCGAAGATTTACCAACCAAACGTCGGGATATAGTTGATATAGGCCCAAGGAAACGGTCTGATCGACCTGATACAGCCAAAGGAAATAAACATGGACATGATGGACATCCACCGTTTTCACTCAAGAAATTAGCGCTAATGGTGAGGATGGATAGTACAGTAACAACATGATAACAACATGTAACATCAAAAAACCATTGGTGGATAGCGTAATCCAACCAGGACACGTGAATGTCCTCCAAAACATTTTCTTAAGCCTTAAGTCCTCTCTTTGACCATTCATTTATATCCATTTATATCAATTGGGGCCGCATATGGCCGCATATATATATATATACATATGTATATCATATATATATACATATGTATATCATATATATATATCATATACTGTATCTGTCTCTCTATAGTTTTACATCAATCCATGGCTTCACCGCGTTTCACCCTAGGATAACCGGAAATGGCCCTCCGCTCGCGACGCATTTTCGGACCGAGACCTATAGCTTCACCAGTGCTCGGCAGGAGGCCCCAAGTGGGCCAGCGCAAAACGGGAAAAACATGGGCACCGTGGCGTGGCCCAGCCATCCGACATACTCAACGGATGGCTAAAAAGAAAGGTCCAGACGGTGCAGTAGGTGTGTCCCAAAAAAACTGGCCGAAAAATATCGATGGTTTAGAAGTTTATCACCCGGTCCCACCATTCATTCAGCATGGAGCCCCATCTCCCATTTCCGGACAAACCAATAAGATCATTGACAGATCTCTAAGGTCTTCCTATTTCCTCAGCTCAGATCTAAAGACGGACTCCAAAAAGTCCAGTTGTCGCCTGGCATATCCATCCGGATCAATGATGGTGACCCTCTCAGAATGCATCGGGTGGAAACAGGTGCGCTTCAGGACGTTCTCCGTGCGCTTCCGCACGTCCCAGTGCACCAGGAAATCGATGACGCCCAGGCGAAGCAAATACCAAGGCCTGCTGGGGTCTGCTGTTTCTTCATGCTGCGGTAATAAGAATAACGAAATAAACATGATGAAATCATATGAACAATGCTGATCATACTCATCTGATTCATTGAACATAATATCACCATTACTGAGGCAATCTCAAAATCTTCAGCAATCTCTCTCTCACTCTCTCTCAGGATTATTCGCAACTTCCCCTGCCTCTCAGATGTGCCTGGCACCAGAATGCAAGGTCTGACATCTTCTTTTGACAAATCCAAGCCTCGGTTGAAAAGGACTGCGCGAAATACTGCGTGCGTGTGAGTGTGTGTGCGTGTGTGCGCGCCTGTTTGCATTTATATATACATATATAATATGTATATATATATATGTATATATATATAATATGTATATATATATATGTATATATATATACACATTCATACGTATGAACAGAGTGATAGAGACCGGATCCAAACATGCTTTCACACATACCGTCGACGTTTGAAGCTGTTTGCGACACATGTCAGTTTAAAAGTGCAGTCGGGATCAGAAAGTCCAACCGTGCAGCCAACTCAAGTCAATGCAGCAAGATGCAGCAAGCCTATTGGCAACAATTCCATAGAACTCCATAGAATTCCGACAAAAACAGTGCTCTGATGCTTGATGACAGTGGAGCGAGCCTATCCGGTCTGATCCGGGGACCTTGTGACTAAACCTGTGGATCCAAGTCACCGAGCTCCTCAGGGATCTCCCACACGGAAAGGAGGACAGAATAGTCAACCACTCCCAGCCTGAAATCTGCAGCTTTTGGCATGTGAGAACCCTGGAAAACCTTCTGCAAATCGGGTGTCCAAAGCTACGGCTGGAAAGGACAATAGTAGCCATAGGACTTTTTCGGGCTTGCAATGGTTTGCATATTACGCCGGACTTTTCCATCACAACTTGGAGCATTTGGAGCCCTAAAGTTCCCTAATTAAAGCGATAAATAGGGTCAACAAAATGTCAACAAGATCCCAAGCACCACGCCAAGCATCGAGCGGAGAAAGTTCAAGTCAGCGGCAAAGTTGATGTCCAGCCGAAATCTCTCAGGAAAAGCTGCTTTGAAACCTCCATCTTGGAACCTGGGAAGCACAACGTGCCTGGTGAATTTTGACCCATGACCATATGTTAACAGGTAAAGAATGGAAAGAGAGGGGGTCTGAAATACACGAAGACGGGCAACCCCGGACCGATCATTGAACCCAAGCCACTCTGACTTCATATCGAAGATGCTTGGTGTCAGGCAATCAAAACCAGCAATATCAGCAATGCTCGCAGGCAAACCCACCAAGCAGTCCATCAATACAGCGTGAAGAAAATATCCCAAGGAATTTTTGAAGCTGAAACAGCCATAGACCCGACACAACAAAGAGCTCGGATTCTCTTCCAAGTGCTTTCCTTGGTGGCTCAACCAGGCCAAACCCGCAACAATCAATAACATGCAATACAATGATCATTTCGATATATAATATATACATATATCATTCCACATCACGGGGGATGTTGTGATGGTGTCAACAACAACCAACAATGTTGAAGCTCCAAGGCGCGGTACTCCGCCAGCATGGCTCGAACTTGCTTCACTTCACTCTTGGAAATGGTTTTGAGGACAAAGGTGCGATTGTCCGAGGAACACAGTAAGGATGACCCACTTTTGGCTGCCACCTTCAGTCCCCCCACATTGGTCTGCAGGAGTTCCGTCAGAAGAGCCTCGCAATCCAAGCCGGCCAAGCGCCGCAAATAGGTGAAGGATCTAGGTGCGATGACTGTCAAAGTGGTATCTGAGCCTGTCAGGGTGAAACTGGTGAAACTGTCCAATGTGCAGAACATATCAGAGAATTGCCCAACTATCGGGGATATATATGATCTCCAACATCCCAAGGTGATCTTTGAAATCCCTATGGAACATATTGGAACATTCACCAACCCATGCCTGTTGCAGCTGTAATGGTCCAATCCCAAGCGGCATCTGGGCTTTCATCCAGTTGGGCGCTGGCGCGCAGCAGCTTCAACTGGGATGCTGCAGCTTGCGTCACAGTCTGCCCTGCAGCCAGAAACTCGCGTTGCTGAGCCAATTGGAGCTCTTCCTCTCCTGCGATGCGATGCAGGCTTTTTGGGGACGAAATGAGGCACGACAACACTATTTACTATTCACATTGACAATTGATGTCTGCAAGCACTGGTTTTCCTATCAATCTGCATGTGTATAGAACCTGTAGACAACCTACAGTTGCAAGATTGCAAGTGAATCCTCTTTCCCTTTATGGTGATAGATATTGATAGATATGATATACCACAGATATCCACATCCCCAAGGGGGAGCTTTGTTTTCACGTTGCCAGCGAGTCTCGCAAGTAGTGAATGAGATGCTCCAACAAGGCCGAAAAGTCCAGTAGTCGATAGCCAGCAGCGCCAAAGGGTGACTGTTCACTGGCTGGTGGCAAAGAACGCAGGTTCGCAGTGCTTACCTTGGAATTGCGATCCAGGGGTTGTCCAATAGACATCCATAGGCTCCCCAGTCACGGTGACTTAACCAATGGGAAACTGAACATGGAAAAACATCTGGGCCAAGTCACTCCCAGCTCCATGTTTTCGCTCCTTTGATGCGACAAGGGACTGGCATCTATGGAACCAAAGTGGGGTGTCCCTTCTTCCTTTGCCAGACTCGTCAGACGATCCAAGCTCAGCAAAAGGCCCAGGCCTGGGAAAACGGCGGACGTCATGTAGCTGCCAACCTCATCATCACAAACCTGAGCGCTTGAAAAAGCCATTCCGTTTCTAGGGGTCGAACTCAAAGATGACTAAAAAACTGAAGACTAACATTGACCGCCAAAAAATGTTTTGGAAATGCTATATTGATATTGGTTTACATTCCCATGTTTGGTTATTTCCCCCTTTCTTGGGATGACAACTCAACATCCACCACAGTCATGAGCTCTTCCTTGGCCAAGTCCAGATTTCCATTTTAGCTTCCAATTATATAAAATCCTTTTCCGACCATCCCCATTGGCGAAATCATCATCTTCACCTATCCCTGATCGTTTTTTCGCCTATGTTCCAATGTTCAACCTATTTTCATTGGGGCATTCGTCCAATTTGGGCAGTTGAAATTTTTACACCCCAAAAAACAAGTTCCAGCCAGAGCTTCGGCATCTTCGGCAGCCAAGATGATGGCCAACTAACTCTACTCACCAAACGGTTTTGATGTTTTTCGGTAAAATGACAGTGGCACCCCGCAAAAAACAAACTCCCGGATTCCGGCGTTCTTCATGGATTACAATTGCGAAACTCCCCAGATAGTTTTCTTCCACCTACCATCTACAACCTTCTTCCCCAAAAGACGGCATGGTCCAATTCCAGCATTTCCGAGCTTCGGCGATGGTGTCCACCAGGATCAAAATGCTGCACATGGTAAGGCTGGCAAAGTGCAGCCACTGCTTCCGCAGATAGGTCCGTACCGCCAGCAGCAGCCGTTCCCGTCGCGGGCAGCGTCGGGAGGAAGACATCAGCAGCTGACCGGCATCCAGGTAGCGAATCACCAGGATGGTGAAGCCCATGGCAATGACCTTAGGAAGATGGAAAAAGGGGATTGATGTTGGGGAAACAAAACATGGGAAGTCTAGAAACATCAAGAAACCATGGTTGTTGCCCCCCACTTTAAAGAGTTGTCCGTGAAATTTCATTCAGTTCTTGGACGTGGGATAAAAGGGGCAAATGCCAAATGAATCTAAACAAGTAGTCATGAAGGAACCATCGAGTGTGACCAATCATGATACTACGCTACTCTTTTTTTGTCATTCATATTATATTCAATGACGATTTAATCCCTTCCCCCTAACCCCCTATTACAAAACCCCCCCAAATAACAAAAACTAGGGATAACTAGGGTCCGTCTCCAATCTTGGAAAATTTGAGGTTGGCCAATTTGATTTCTAATTGATTCCCTTTAGAAAACAAATTAAAAATGAAGCTACCATTTCAGGGTTTCACCCCCTAATAATAAAAACTAGTCAACCCCGGGGTGTTTTTTTATTAAGGTCGAACAAAAAAACCGTATTTTATATTGAGGTTTTTAGTTTAATATTAGGGGAAAGCTTCGAAATCCAATTTTTGGCAATGTTAATTAGATTTTAAAAGGAAATTTAATCGATTTTGAAATAGAAAAAAACAGTCTTTTATATTAGGGTTTTAAATTTAGTATTAGGGGGAAGCTTCGCAGCCTAATAACAAATACCCTCTAATAATGAAAACTACCTGAGGTGCTTATTATTTGGGGGATTTTTTTTTGGGGGGGTTAGTATTAGGGGGACGGGATTATTTGTTTCATCTTCTGCATATTGATCCGCGTTGGCTGAGGACCGGACCACGAAGCCAATCACCTGAAACCAGGCCAGGTCTCCATTCATGTTTTGACGCCGAAGAACGCACGGCATCATCACCACTTTCGCCTGAAAACCGTTGGGCAAATTGGGGAGGATTGGACTGGAAACTTATGACTGACCTGCAATGTGGATCATCCACGACAATTCCTGAAACATCCGGTGTAGTGTAGGCGGGATTTTTCCATATCGTAAGATGATTTATGATGATTTCCTATGGTTTTTTCACCACTTTTTATGATTTTATGATGATTTCCTATGATTTCCTATGATTTTATGATGATTTCCTATGGTTTTTAATCCAACAATCTCCTTAAAAAATTAAGTCATTTCCGTCCCAGCGCAAAAACCGCTTCGCTCCACCTGTCGACATGTGTCTGTGACGAGGCGATCACCGTTGGGATCAAAGGCGATGATCCCAGCACAGACCCAGGTGAAGATGTGGTAGAAGTAGGTCAAAGGAACACCCAAGACCTTCTCCTGTGCAAATTTTGGCACATTTTGGATCGACTAAATTGAATTGGGTGATTCTATGAATGATTTTGGGATGATTTTGGTACTCACCTTTCTGATGGAGAAATGGTTTTGGGTATTTTGGGGTGAATTTTTGATTCTGGTACATCTGGTACCTTGAACTGAGGGATCGGCAGGCAGGACATTGGGAAGCTTCTCCGCTTTAAACCACAGGATTGATTTGAAGATTTTGGTCGGCGAACCACACATTTTCCCCTAGATTTTCTGTTAAACCAATGCCGAGATAGAACTGCTTAATATTTTGAAGACATTAGAATTAGCAACCTCTTCCTGCGTAGCTACGTGCCTTGAGCGTCTGCTCAGGGGCCTGGGGCAATTATCGTTTATCTATGTTTGGGACTGTGAAAGAACCTGCCAAACAGAACCTACCATATGAACCTATAGCAGCACCCAAAAAATTGAGAAGGACACATATGCAAACTGGTAGATCATGGTACACTACGGCCGCTTCTGTGTGGCCCGCTTCAGGCTACAGAAATCACAATCTGTCAGATCAGGCTCTGATCCGCAGCCATAGGGATTCCCTAGTAATACTAAAACTAGAAATGTGCTATGCCCCAGTATTGGGCTATTTTCACTGGGGAACATGGTCGTATAAACCACTGTAATGTCTGCCTTTGATGGTTTTTGTACTGGATTCTAGGGCCCTATGGATCCTATGGCATCCTGTGGCCCTATGGATTATCACCACTGGATTTCACTGCATCAAAAGCTCTGGTGCCAACGGTTGCTGAGTGAAGCGTGCGAGGTCGAAAATCCTGTGCAGGCTGGCTTTTGAGTCCAGGTTGGCGGCCATAATATATAGCAAAAACGAGACAATAGATTACCCACATGGATTCAAATTGTGGATAAAGTATACTGAACATATACAAAATCACGTGTTCTTTTGATATTATAAAAGTCGAATTTATCATCTTTATTGGGCAAATTTTGGCCTGATGAATGCCACGTATGAGACAGTGCAAGGACGAGGATTTAACAACCAACAACAAGCTGCAACAAGCTGGATGGTAAGGGCATAACCAGCCGAGGGGCCACATGACGTTCCAAAGGTACGCACCATAGCCGAAAAACTCCAGCCAGGGCACTGCGAAAATACAACAGTTCCTGAGTTTCTCTTAATTCTTCACATGTGATAGATGTAGACTGTGTTTCTCGGGGAAACATGGGGCAGCGTTTGTTTGTGCTTTGTTTCTTCTACCTCCCCTGTGTGTCCGTTTGCTGAAATGCATGGCCACAGCTGCCTGACATCGGGTGTGTCTGTTGACATTCTTTTGACATCTGGCCAAGTATCAAAAAACAGAAGGGTGAAGTTCCGTTGTCATCGCACATGGTTCCATGAAACAACGTCTGCAGTTGACATGGCCCGTCCCACATTGGCGCATACGAATCTGCGACAGCAAACGCCACAAAGTAGATACCTCACAGTGACAGTCATCACTGAGTCATCAGTGGGGAACTGCATTCAATATTCAAATGTCTGATGATGTCTGGAACTACCCTGGAAAACATTTCCAGGACATGATTTGGAGATCCAACCACTGGCTTGAGGCGGACCAAAATGGCACAATTACAGTCAAACTTGATACTAAAGTTTTTTTCGGTCTGTTTCTTCAACCAGTTTTCGGAATCCAAGATGCTGTAGAACAAGCTGCAAATATTGGACCACTTCAAACACTCTCTCTGTGAGGGAGTTCTGGTACTCCATGAAGAGAAAAGGTCCAGGCAAAGCACAAGACAACCTCAAAAAAGTGTGTCCCTTTACTCAGCGCAGGGTGGCCTTGCGAAGGACAAAAACTGGTTGGCAGAAACACTCCGAAATCAGCACCACAGAGATCCACATTGCGTAGATTTTTTTTGGCAATTCAGTGAGTTTACGACAGGTTGCTGGGGGATCTTGTGAGACATGATATGATATACCCAAAGGAGTTTGCAGCTTCCCCTCCTAAAACCATGCCATTCGTGAGAAATAAACATACCATCCGGCTGTCAGCCCCAAGCATCCAGCCCAGCCGCCCCCGCAAAAATATCCAAGCTGCAGGCGCAAAAAGCTGCTCCACCCAATACACCAAGCAGCAAATCTACGGAGTCCCGGTGCCTTGAGATTAACATCGAGACCAAGATGTGGGCTAAGGGCTTAGAGGTGTAGTTCTATGAGTCTATGAGGTTCTACGTCTATATGATTCTAAGACAATAATATTATATACGTAATTATATATAGATAACTGTATAGTATATATATATATGCAATATGCATATATATATATTATATTATATGTAGTTTTGGGGATTGTAATACTGCAGATCTTTGAAACTGACGATCTCATTCGCTACTATCTGGCTATCTGACTTAAGACATCTTAAGCTCAACATATCAGTTGAACCCTGCAGAGATTGAACCTCTGGGGTCTCCTGCAGTGTGCCTGGGAGAGTTGGTGCTGTCGAGTTGCCATGGCTTGCAATCACAATCCTCATGACATCGTGCCAGAGTAGAGTTATCCACATACAAGCTCAGGCAGGTGTCTATACCTCAGACCAGCGTATTAGGGCATAATTTCAACATATTTCAGCCAAGGGCGGCACCCCCAGCAATCCCCATGATTTTTGTAGTTTTTAGTGCTGCCAAAGCTCAAAATGAGGTGTTGCCCTGTTGGTTCTCCTTTCCAGTGCAGGACGTGCCCGCTTGGTAGCCTCGTTTGCCAAGACCCGAATCTCGCAACTCAGTGGGAAGCCAAGAAGAGACAAACTCCATTGCGGAGGCCGAGCTTTGATGAGCTGATGGTCATGGAAGTCTTGCGGCCAATCTTCTTTAGCTACTGCCTGCCATTCCAGAAAAATCAACTTGTTGTTCTTGACAACCATCTGATTTCTAGATCTGAAATGTGCTGAATTCCAGGATCTTGTTGGCATTGATATCCCTTGCTTAAACAATCTTAAACACTTGTCCATAGAAACAGGCTGGCAGGGGCTGGGTCTGCACCCTTTAGGGGTGCAAGCCGCGCCGGGCCTGATGAATGCAAGCACATGTTACATGGCACTTTTGGCGCTGGCTGTGCTCAAGATTTCTCTAAGGCATCTCCCCAGAAAGCGCTGCTTCAACTTCAATGAATTTCAATGAACAGTCTCATTCAATCCCTTCAAATCCCTTCAATCTTTTTGAATCCACCGAAAACAAAAGGAGCTACTGGGACAATCATTCCATGTCAATAGCTCCGTATAACATCAACATAAACATGTCAATAATTCCCACATCGCTCTTTTTTTCACGTCAGCTGCCAACTTTGAGCTGTCGCAAGACCCCAAGCCACAAAAACAAAACCAACAACAAAAGTTGAGACCTATGGCACTAACCATGCCCATCTGGCACACCTTCCATCTGCCCATCAGCCCATCTGGTGGTGGCACTTGTCGCGCCAGCACCCGCCGATCGTTTTTTTTGGGTTGGTGGAACCGGTGGAACCAAATACCTGGTGCTTCCAGGAGAATGTTCCGGTGACACGGAATTCCATCCGAGCGCGGGTTTAGACCAGAACTACCCTCGAAACAAAAATAGAATTGGACAATCACCTCATTGGAAGACTGGCCTTATCCCGGTGAACACCGGGAGTTTACAACCGGTGTTTGTTGACAATTGGGAAAGGGTCGTAGCCAGTCGTGCGCACTCAACTTCCATTTGTTTTTTTCTTCTCCAGCACCGTGGGGGAGCCTGGGTTGATCCAATCCACATCTGTCTCCTCCTAGGCGAAACCCGGTGGCAATCTGGTGTAAATGATAGCATCGCACTGACCCCAGCAAAAACTCAACCTAACCCAACAACCATATATGAACTATCGAATTATATGTTATTACATCCACTCTATATATATATAAATAAATATATATATATATATATTACATATATATATACTGTATATGAATTATATATGTATATCCGTCATATATCACATTCTCAGCTGCCGTCCTGCACGGAGTCCTCCCGTGGCAACCTCAGCTGGCCGTTGACACGACTGCAGAGGCGCAAAAAACGCTGCCCAGGTGCGGATTGAGCCGGGCCAGGAGGTATGCAGCTTCCACCTGGGATCTGTAAACAAAAGCAGGATATATTAATTTTCTATAGTATATATATATAATTATATATATATATATCTATATCTATCTATCTATATCATGCTATAATTAACAAGATAACATCATACTATATAATATATAGGATATCATGCGCATGTATCTAACGTATTTTTTAAGTCATAGATACTCAACACATCAATGAATAAGTAAATGAATATGAAGGAATCAATGAAGAATTGATTGAATGCATATATACATATACATAAAACAAAGCAATAATAACAATAATCATGATGCAGTAATAAACATATACCTGATAGTCATGTTTAGAATCCCCCAAAATGGGAAAGTTGACAAGTCTTGAAACACCCAAAATCCATCAAAATCCCTGATTCTGATCCCCCAGCATCAGGCCCTGCCTCCTTGGTCAGAGGCATAATGTATTCTTCAAATATTTTACCTGCGCCAACAGTGTCCAAACGACAGGGTGAACCGGGCCCCCATGGATCAACAACATGCTGAGGAATGCCATATGGCAATCCAGGCGATGTTTTTGGAACTGGGTGCTGATTTTTTGGTATGTTTTTCCTATGATAATAAATCATCTTGGTGCTGATTTTCTGAAAAAACTATGCACCAAAGGCATGAATGCTGGGGAAAATCGCTGCTGAGTCACCAATATACTCCGGGTTGACCTTGTAGGTGGCTGGGCCCCTTAGCACGTTCTGCGACTGCATCAGGCCCAATGGCAATCTTTGAAGACCACCGTGCATATTGTCATTGTACATCATTATTGTTGATTCTTAATTAATAGTGTTTATTGTTCATGGTTTCTATTTTGTGTTTATTGTTATTCCTATTATTGCTATTATGAAACACTACTATTATTGTTGCTGTAACTGTTGTCATTGTGACATAATTAGTGCATACTATTGCAGATTGTGGCATACTATTAACATTTATTAACTACTGGGATTATTAAATTAGATCAATTATTGCTATGCATTGATATACCATGAGATAAACTCATCAGCTAATTCTCCGATCATTGCTACCAGGTTTTTCCCGCCTCACAGGATCACAGCAACTGGAGCTCCAGGCGATTCCTCGGGTTTGTCCAGTGCGATGTTTCGAGAGAAGGCCTTTGCCTTGCAGCTTCCGGTGGGAAGTATGGCAACATATGGCAACTTACCATGAAGATATCGCCAGCAATCTCCAAAGATTTTGGATATCGACCAGTTGTATGATATTAGTATATACATGGATATGTCCTTCGTCATTGTCAACAAACACACCACACACACATATATATACAAACATATATGATAAATATATGTATATGGTGTATAAACATATGACCAATCAATACATATACATACACACGTACATATATATATATATAAATGATTATAAATGTACACACGTAATCACGTAGGTTTAAACTATACATATACACGTGCACATATATAATCATATATAATCATATATATATATATATAATATATACACAAATAAATGCATCATCATCAATAATCCAACTCATCATCAACACATCCCAGATTTTCCATGAATTTGGCTGTACCATTCTCATCCATTTTCCCTGCCTTCAGAATGACTCGCTGCACATTCTTCTTTTCCACCTCCGGCTTCGTGATGAAAGCAATGAGTGCGTCAGTGTCTTTGGCCTCAGCACCATGTCCCTCCTGGGCTTCCAGAAATGGGGCATGCCAAACTGCAATTTCAATGGAGGGAATCTATAACAATTTAATCAGAATTGGGCACAATGATTTTTTTATCATGCCTATTCTTCGGACTTAAACCTATAGTATTTTCCTTTCGGAACCCTTAAATTTGGGAACTCACCTCCGCAAAATCCCGAGATACGGCTAATTTGTAAATTCGTAGCATATTGTGAGCGTATCTTTGGTTTTGTACTTAAATTGGAAACTCCAAAAGGATCTACCATCTGGTTATTTAACATAGCCATGGAAAATCACCATTTTTAGTAGGTAAACCATCTATAAATGGGTCATTTCCCGTGGCTATGTTAAATAACCAGAGGGTAAAAGGTCCTTGAAATCCTGAGGCACCGAACTTTGATCATGGCAGTGGCCTTCTCCGTTTCGCTTCTGAACTTGGACTCCGCGACGAACCTCGTCATCCAATAATGTGGCTCGAAATGATCACTGCATTCATGATGAGTATTGATCAGTGCTGTAATAGGGACAATACACAGGGATAAACATATGGTGAATTTGCAGGATATCATGTCATTTGACATCTTTAACCATTCTAATAATAACCATTCATGTATATCGTTTCTTCTCGAATTTTCTCAGAACTAGAGCAGAAACAAACCTCAGGCAGAAACAGTCCGTAGTATATCCTGGTGGCCATGGTCTGAAGGACATGCCTGGACCATCGGCAGGACAGTGGTGGAGTTGAAACTGAACACCAATAGAACGTTTGGGATGTGGGTCTGATAGCCTCATATTGTAGCGAGTAGAAAAGCAATGAAATGTTACATGTGCAGATCACACGGAGACTTTTCAATTTTTCAAAAACCGCTCATACTGCTAGCGACAGGGGACAAACACGTGCCATGCCGAGACAGTGAAAAACCGAGTGCAGCAAACTAAGCATTGGTGTTAAATGGTGTTAACGCAGGGATCCCCAACACGTCTTGCACGGCAGTGGAACCGTAGTTGCCATCATCTCCCTCTTCGCACCTCATTGCACATCCAAAAATAGCAGCAGTTGCACGCTGCTAACTCCTTTCAACCCCAAGTTGAATAAGATTTGGCCCAACCACCAAAATCCTATCGTTTATCAGTTTTTCATAGTTTTTCATCACTTTCCCTATGTAAAATGGTCATTTTGGGGGTTTACACCAAAGACAATCGGAGCCAGCTGAAACCTCAACCTCAGCTCCCAATGGCGATGCGGCCGCGCCACAAGGAGGGGATCATCTTTGTTCGGTAGATCTCTAGGAGCTTCTTGTTCACAATAGCCTGCCATGGTGCTCCATCCCACTCCATCACAACAAGATGGAACAATCTTCTTGTTATTTATTTATTATTTTTTTTTATATATATATATAATTTATTGTTATTTATTGTTCATAATAGACCACGTGCAAAAATCATATCTCATATATCTCATCATTGTTGTGTGAAAAACGTAGGCTGCGCCGAACTGTAACACATGGCTCCGCGCAGTGATGAAGCACTAATAAGAAAAATAGTGCTGTAGCAATCATAATGTACACACATGCGCAGGTCGTATTAAACACAAACCGATATACACAAACACATCGAGCACCCCGGGCCCTAACTCTACGCCTCAGGCGGAACCTGTGCCAAAATGCCTTCTGTCCCACCTGGCCACAAGTTGGGAACCTGCTTCCTGGGTAATCATCCCTTGTGTAACATCCCCAACTGGGCCGAACTATGATCTCTCGCTTGTCAAACAACGATTGTACCAGCGCCAAACCAAGATGCACATCCAATCACCAAATGCAGCAATTGAAATGGGTCTGTGGTGAATCCGTTTGGCTCGTGATGCTTCACAAAACCGCAATCGACCAGCAAGGATCAAAAACTGGAGACTCACCAGGCACTCAAGCAATCTATAATATGTTGCGCCATGTCGCGCCCTAGTCCTACCTTGAAACTTAGACATATCTACCGTGCGACAGTGTGGAACCGCGACGTCTGTGTCATGCAGATTTCCATCCATCTTGCCTTTCTCAGTCTCAGTGTTCTTCCCAAGGCTTGCCCTCATGAGGAGTTTCCAGTAAATAAATATATATATCTATCTATCTATCTATCTATCTATATATATCAATCAGGACTGATAGATGCTTTCAACCGGTTTCATTGTGAGCCATCATCCTAAAGAGGGGTTGAACACCGACCTGTTTTGATGACCTGCCATGTTGGGATGTTCATCTACCGATGGGATACACCACTGCGCCGCAAAAAAACAAGCTCCGGGCTCAGGTAGAGGGCCGAAAAACGCATATTCTGTGGGATGGTCGTACCTGTCCAGCATCACAACTTCCACAGAAATTCTTCGATCGCTGGGAAGATGTTGCAAGTGTGCCTCTTCACTTGCGAGTGAAGGCACTCTGTCTGGTAAATGAACCTGCCAGCTGCGCGGCTGAGTTGAGTGCCATCAAATCCCATCCAGTGTCACTGCACTGAGCTTGATATCTGCATGATAAGGGTGAAAAAATGCCTGAGTCAGTGATTCCAACTCATCTCAAGACAATCAAGACAATGCTCGCCAGTGGGAAAAATCAATTATTCATTATCCCAAACCCGGGCGGGAGAAAAATGAAGGATTGAGACCGCCAAATTCCAGCTTGTTGGTGACTCCCTCCATATTTGGGTTGTAATTTCTAGGGTCTATCGTGACCTGCGGTTGTCTCCAAATCTAGAACCCCTTTCCATCCCATGGTCTAAAACAGCGTTCACCCCACCAAAAAAACAACAAACAGTTTGCCATAAGCTCTGGGTAATCCACCGTGCTTGAAACCAATTCGCCACACCAGGCGCTGCCGCACTGTCAGTTCTGCTCAGAAACCAATCTCCGAGGCATCCATTGGAACCAGCACTTTTCAGGGCATGGAGCTTGAACCTTAAAGGAACTTAAAGGGGTGCAAGAACAAACGTGGCCCAAAGTGGGGCTCTTAAACTGGTCGCCTTGAACCATATTTACAGTATCGATATTTGATCTTGTGCAATGATACCTACCAAATACAAAACTCCAGACGGTGTTTGATGATTTTTGGGCCATCTATTTTCAACCATAGCCATAGGTTTTTCAGCCATGCCAGCTGACCGATGGACCTGTAGTCGTCAAAGAATTGGAAAACGGACAGTAAAAACTCAGGTTCATGAGAATCAAATCGATTACATACAGTTATATACAATATCATCAAATTTCTCCATCGTCATGCAATTAGATCTCGCAATTCCATCCAATTCCGTCCAATTCCATCCAATTCTTCCATCCAATTCCATTCCTCCTTTCCAGAAGTCAACTTCCATGACACCCCCCAACAACCGTAGCAGCCGTAACAGCCGTGTTGATCTCAACAGCCGAGTGACCGTCCCAGCTGCTTGTGGTTCGGCTCATAAACCGCGCCTAGGACAACACATATCAACACATCCCTTCCCGCTTATTATAAACACCACCCGAAATCACGTTTAGTTTTGAATCCGTTCTTGGGGGAATATTGTATCATTGATAATATATACTATGATACATATATAAAGTATAATATATATATATACACATAGGATTAACCAGGAGTATAATCGGATTTAACATGCCCCTTCTTGTACAACGTCCTAGGCCTATAAGATTGAAGCCATCCCAAATCATGCAAAGACATGTCTCCTTTTACCAAGACACCTAAAATTGGGGCCCTCAGGTCGTCTGGACTTACCCCGTCCTCCATTATCCTCCATTCTATGAAGGTAAACCATTGTTTTTTCCATTTTTTTCCCTGGTATCCATTCATTTTCCACGCATTTTCCAGTCATATTCCATGGGTTTTCCATGGTACTCCATGGATTATTTTTGGTAAGCTAACCCCTGGTTGCAACTCAGGTCCCAGCTGTTGGTCAAGTACTGGGACCGCTCGATGAGGCTGAAAATGATCGAGTCCTCCGTGTATGTTGAAATGGTATACGATATGTGTGCAACCATATGCAAAGAATTCCATGAATTATATATATATAATTATATTATATTATATTATGTTATATTATGTTATATTATATTATATTATGTTATATTATGTTATGTTATATTATATTATATTACATTACATCCACATGTAGAAAGGATCATGCATGTCACGTATCTATTTGATATGGCATAGCCTGCTTATACAATAATAGAGAGAGGGACAAACAGGGATAAGATAGCTACGGTGACATTTGCAATCATATTTAATCATATGCATATAATATACAATATACATGTATAAGCATATGAATGTAATCATATTATACTTGAGTATGGATGGGTATGGGTCGTAAGCCATGAGCCCTGGCAAACATACGAGCAAACATACATACACTGTATTCACTACCAGCCACATAACAGTCAGGCCAGCACGTCTGACATCTTCTGACGCAGATCCAGGCTCGGAAAATACACAACAAATGGTTGACATACCCGACACATCCCGACACATCCCGACACATCCTACCAGCACTACCTACACACTTTATCACTAAAAAGCTGGTTCGTTAAATATTGATAAATCCGTGGCAAAGTTCCCCGATTTGTGGTGTGCGCATGCGACAATGGCAACACCACTTTTCAGCTCACCCTCCCAGCTTCCCACGCCTCCATCCTCTGCAAAACAGTCCGAATGTAGTTCAGATCCAAAGCCTGCTCTGCACCTCATCTTTTTCAATTCCGGAGCCCCACGTCTGAGAAACCTGAATTTAGTGAGGATCATTATCGTCGTCATCGTCATCGTCATCGTCATCATCATCGTCATCGTCATCGTCATCCTCATCATCATCATCATCATCTTCATCTTCATCTTCATCACCACCATCACAATCATCAGTCACATGCTTTTCCCACGAAAAATGGGTGCCCAAGCTGGTCACATTCGCAGTGTTTGCAGCCATTTGGACTCCGATGCTGGCGTTGAGTACAAGGGCCTAGGCTCGCTGGCCAAGCCTTTAATATGTTTTATTGCGGTACAAAACTGAAACTGATCAACGACTGAAACTGATCAAAACCTCACAAAAACAGTGGGTGCTTGCCTGGATCTCAACTTTTGACCCTTGTCATGTTCAAACCATCAAGGACACTCCGGCATTGATGGCATGCCTGGTGCAGGGCACTTGGCCCAAGTGCATGGACTTCAAAGGAAGCAGTTTTGAGGGGCCGGCTACTATCGGCCACGTGGCGGTGCCCATGAAAACATGGCGCCTAACTTTGCTTCTCTTGAGCATCTGCGGAAAATCATCAGGTTGCTAAAAATTCATGTGTTTTTTTTTGAAAGGAACTCCTTTCCTCCACAAATGGAGGTTTCCTGAAACAGGGGTGTACCCCCCAAGTCATCCAAAATTAGACCTTTTTTGGAACACCCCAAATGGGTTCGTCTCAAAATGATGGACGCCCCCAAAGCCCATCACTGGCACGTGCCGGATTCAGGGCCAGGGCCCGGGCTGTTGCTGTGGAAGAAGCTTCTCTTGAGCCCTCCACACGTGCTGCAGGTTCCGGTGCCTCAGCCGCAAACAACGTGAGTTGGGGAAGGTCTGGCATGGTGAATGAAGACAAATTTTGGCCCTTGTTCGATGAGAGCACTTGGTTGCACAACGGATTGGCTGAAGGGAAATTCTCAAAGGAAAACTATGGCTTTTAGTAGTGCAGGGGTTTCTTTCAAATTGTTCCTTATTCATCCTTATTCATCCAAATCGGGATTCGCGCCATAGATATTTAACAAAGGTCGACATTTTTAGATATTTTTAGCCAGTTTCTTATCAATATTTGACAAGAGCACGTTGCCTCAATGCGCATGCTATAATCCGAATATATTCCAAATATGCCCAAACACATTCAACCCAAGACTGAAGCAGTGGCTGTCAGAGTTGCAAAATCATGCAAAATCTATGTCTATGGCAATTCACAGGCTCCTCAAACTTCCATATCCATAGGATCCAGACAGCCCCAGGCCCTCTCGAACCAACTGCTCTGCACGGACTTGACCTAGCAGAATGAAACCCTGCGGCCCCCCAGTTGATCCCAGCTGATTTGGAAACCACATCCACATCATTCCACATCAACTGTTTTTGAGGCAGCCACTATCACCCAGCTCTTGGCTATCCAGGGCTAAAGCCAAATAGATCTTCGCCATTCCAGCCTCGATTCGCATGTGAAAAACTGCCTCTAAGTCATGGGCCATGGGGTTGATTGGGACATGGACTGACATGGGCTGACTGACAGTTTGACTCTATCCCACCCAATTTGGGGACATTTTATTGGTTGCCCGTGGGGAGTTGAAGATTTTGACGGATTCTCTGCACGAAAAAAGGGAACCAACAAACATCGGGATCCAAATGTTGTTTCTAAGTATCTCCATCAAACAATGATTGGGTCACCCATGGCTGTGGGATCTATCCCATTTTGGACAAGCCCATGACAAGAACTTGGCCATATATTATGTCCCATCATCTGAGAATTGCTTAATGAGAGGCCACAATGGAAAAAGAAGAAACGCATCTTGAGCAAATCCAGGTCATCCTCCAGTAATCAAACATGGCTAGCTGGAAAATCCACCATTTAGTTTGATGATTTTCCCAGCTATAAACCTCCATTTAGTTCGGGGATTTTCCAGCCAGCCACGTTTGGCTACCGGAGGATAATCCCATTATATAATCACCATTAATCACCACTATTAACCATTACCGGAGGGTCTGCTCCCTTGTACCCCACCCAAAAGAAACAGTAGCTGAGTTCCCAACCAAGCTTTTCCGCAAAGCTCGTGAGCTGGTCTGTGCCACAGCATCTTGCAACGTGGTCGTTGCCTCGGTAAATATTTTCTGGGGATATTCCTTGAAATTTGGCCCTGAAAAATAAGATACACATGGTATCTCCAATGAATATCGGTACCTGGCGATTTAGGTCATAAAATATGCCAGCATGAGTAATTATGAACACTTTGGATAAATTTGGATTGATTAGTTCAGTTTATATGAACATCCATACACCCAGAATCATCTAAAATCCAATTTTCAGAGAAAATTGGAATGGATATGATATGAATCTATCCGTTCTATCCCCACATGTTTGTTGGTCAAGCGCCACGGTTCGTCATTTTTCCTTCGGCCCATCTTTTTCCTCCATGACATCCTGCGTCTCATCAGCCGGCTGCAGCACCTCCAGTACCTCCAGCCATGGATATGGGTAGATATGGTATGATATGGGAACATTTATAGGAACCACCCTAAATCACCCCAAATCTAAATTTAGAGGGTCAAAACTCAAAACCACGGCTTTTTCCGATGTTTCCCTTGATCCATTGATCCACGTGTTAACCCCTGGGCCCTGGAGCATGGTCCGACATGCCATTTTCCTACCACCCTCCAGGCAGCAGTCCTCCAGATCGAGAGCTTGGTAGCCCTTCAAAACTTCATTTCAGCTACGCCATTTCTGTACGCTTCACGGCATCAAGACTAACCGTGCTGACCAAAATATTTGGGTTGGTGGTTTCAACTTATCCCAAATATGAAAATGAATCCGGAACATCATGTCAGGTAGGATGAAAAATGAAAACATTTTTGAAACCATCAGCCATCTGCACTTTTTTTTCTAGGGCAGGTTTACTATGCTTTCAGTGAGAAGCGTGTCTCACCCTTCTCAAAGAAGCCCACGATCTGATTGGCCGCGGCCACTCCTGCGTTGTCGTTGGCCTCCGCCGTCTGCGCACCCATCTTCTTCTTGGTGAAAATGAGGCGCTTGCCAAATTTGTCACCCACTGCGGCCTGACAGGTTGCATGACGCGCATGACGCATCGTGAATTGGTTCTAAGGATCCAGAAAGGCTGGGAACTGCGCTGTGAATTTTGGTGCAAAAAGTCTTCTCAATTTCTCGGTTATCTCTGTTCCTTGCCAGGTTTCATGTTGCTTTCAGAATCTTTCAGAGTCTTACAGCGGCAGCATACCTTTCCTATGCCTTCCTGGTGCCCTATACGGTCACGGCACATGGACACGGATCACATGGATCGCAGCCTTGAACGGCTCAATGTCCTTGGGCGCAACATCGCAGAGGTAGCAAAAATCTGGTCGAACCTTCAGGATCTCCAGCATATCTGCCTCATGCACCACTTCCACACGTGCGGTGTTGATCAAAGTACCGCCCTTGGGCATCTTGGACAACAGATCCTGCAAGCATTCGGGGCAGCTGAGCAAATGGGCGTTGTGGTGATGCTGGCCCCCCCAAAAGACAGCTGTGGATCCAACACGTGACGCATCCATCCGGGAAACTCATAGCATCTCCCAACCCAGAACAAAAAATCCATGTTGGGAGTGGTCCCAAGCCCCCCAAAAATATCCATCTTGGGAGTCGTTTCCCTACCATTCTTGCCATTAAATAGTTAATCATACTCATAAGACTTATAACATCTAAAACATCTAGAGATCTTTTCTCAATTTTGGCCAGGTCGTTATTGAACTTCCCCAGAATCCACAGCCGGCCTTGTTGATGGATGCCTTGGTCTCCTCGGTCAATGGAACATGGAGAGACACGTATTGATGTTCGAAAAGGCCAGCCACCGAGGTCACCGGCTCCGCACCCATCTCCTGGTCACCGGCCACGACTGGTTACGGAACGTCCAATGAATACACTTTGTATAGAGCTCATGAATCACCAAATGCTATGATCTATTAGATGTGCCACATACGAGCACGTGTGAGTACATCATGATTATACCTTATGATACATTAACAATTATAGAGTCATATCAAGATGAATACACAAATGCACACACATAACATGGATTCTAGATCTTTTTTTTGGGTCAAATTGTATGATGACGTCACATATCATTGCAAGCCTATTTCTGTCTTCCAACTCTTCGACAGCAATCCCAACAATGAGTCCACCAATGGTTCAACCTTACAACACAATCCCGTTCCAAAATGAAAAACCAGTCATCTGATGTCGACTAGTGAAGTTGTACAATGTTGTACACCTTGATCTTCTCTGCCGGGATGTAGGGATCATAGGCAAAACTCTTCATGCCAAAGCCCACAGCCAACTTATGCACCGCCCGCGCCACTGCGCCGAAACCGTAGAAAGCGATCTCGCGGTTGACCAACTCGAAACCACTGGTGCCATCGAAGTTGTTGCGAGCACTGACAATCATCCTGCGGGATGGAGGGCAGAGTTTGCAGAAGATTTTGACGGAAAACAAGGTTTTGCAACCATGATACGCATTTTCCATGTTAACTTCCCAGGCTGTGATTGAACAATACTGATCAATATTGAACATATTGAACCAAGAATCATCCCGAAGACCAGCTCCGCAACTGCATTGGCATTTTGGCCAGGGGTATTCATGGCAACAACGCTCTTGGCTTCGCATGCCTTCAGGTCGATGTTGTCGTAGCCTGGGGGCATCACATGGGAACTTTTTGAGGCCAACAGAAAAAGTCACGATGGAGGCGAACCAGGGGTAGATTGCTGAGGCTTCCACGCAGATCCCTAAATCACGTGCAAGAACTCAACACATTCCATTCCATGATGCTTTCATTATCTCTCTGGCTCTGCATCATCCGGTTCTCATCAGAGAAAAGAAAAGGTAAAACGATTGCTTTGCTTCGATTTTTCAACTGTGCCTTCACGTTCTTGTAAGCGAGAGAGAGAGAGAGAGAGAAAGAGAGAGATTGAGGACTTCTTGGGTAACCTTCAACAAAACCATTTCATATAATATATATATAAATATATTATACACATATACACACATATATATATATATAAATACACATACATTGCATGCCATGCATGCATGCGTGCGTGCGTGCGTGCGTGCATGCATGCATGCATGCATACATACATACATACATTACATACATTACATACATTACATACATTACATACATTACATACATTACATACATTACATACATTACATACATTACATACATTACATACATTACATACACTACATACATTACATACATTACATACATTACATACATTACATACATTACATACATTACATACATTACATACATTAACATACACAACATACACAACATACACAACATACACAACATACATTACATACATTACATACATTACATACATGACATAAGTTACATACATGACATTACATGCATTACATGCATTACATGCATTACATGCATTACATCATAACATTACATACAAATACATACATACATATAACGACATACATACATACATTACATACATAACATATTTACATACATACATTACATACATACTTAACATACATACATAATATACATACATAACATACATACATAACATACATACATTACATACATACATAGCATGCATACATAACATACATACATGACATACATACATAACATCCATACATAACATACATACATCACATACATACATAACATACATACATAACATACATACATAACATACATGCATACATACATAACATACATACAAACAGAACATACATACATACATACATAATACAAACACACATAACTAACATACATACATACATACATACATACCTAACATACATACATACCTAACATACATACATACCTAACAAACATACCTATATACATACATACTTACTACGATACTACATTACATACATTACATACATTACATACATTACATTACATACATTACATTACATACATTACATTACATACATTACATACATACTAACAAACATTACATAACATACATTCCATAACAAACATTACATAACATACATTACATACATTACATACATTACATACATTACATAACATACATTACATAACATTACATACATTACATACATTACATACATACATAGCATACATACATAACATACATACATTACATACATACATTACATACATACATTACATACATACATTACATACATACATTACATACATACATTACATACATACATTACATACATACATTACATACATACATTACATACATACATTACATACATACCTTACATACATACAATTACATACATACTTACAATACATACAGTACATACATCCATTACATACCATCCTTACATCTACATTACATACATACATTACATACATACATTACATCATACTTACAATACATTACATACATACTTACATAACATACTACTACATACATTACTACATACATACATACATACATACCTACTTACTTTACATTACATTACATTACATACATTACATTACATACATTACATTACATACATTACATTACATACATTACATTACATACATTACATTACATACATTACATTACATTACATTACATACATACATACATACATACATACCTACATACATACATACATACATAACCATACCATTACATACATAACCATACCATTACATACATTACCATACCATTACATACATTACCATACCATAACATACATTACCATACCATACCATACCATACCATACCATACCATACCATACCATACCATACCATACCATACATACACACACACACACACGCACATATATATATATATGTATACATACACACATATAATATATATATACAGTATATGTATACTGTATATATATATATAGCACCCGCCCCCAAAAAACGGTCAAGTAAACTCCCACTACTAGAATAGTGAGAATCTTCAGATGCTTAGTCACAAAGCATGGCATAAAGCCTACCAATCTCAGTGATAGCTACATTATATGACTTGAACCTTTTCTATCCTTTTCTATTTTTTTGGGTGGGTCCCTCCCATTCCCATGCCATGCCATCACCATCTTTTCATCCATTTCCATCCAGGCACCAGCACCCGCACGCACCACGATCTTCAACTGTGCAGCCTTCTCAAGGACTGCTGCATCCACAATGTCGCTGCGGATGATCATGGCATCAACACCCTCCACTGCGGCCAGCAAGTCATCCTTGCTCTTGTAGTTCTCCAACTTCCTGGCAGAAGTCTGCTGAAAGATCTGTTATGGGCTTTGAAAAGGCTGAGCTCTTGAAGGAAGATGTAGAACAATTGAAACTGCGACAGGGAACTAGAGAGATATAGAAAGACCGACCTCTGATACAGTATTCTTGTGAAAAATTAAACCGAAAGGATGTGCCCAGTCCTGCATACATCTGCATACCATATTTAATATCATATTTGTAATTAGTAGTATGGGTGTGCAAGCATAAGCCTGGAGTAGAGAATATGATGTGAAAGCCATGGCCACTGCATGGCTGTACCGCAAGTCATGTGCTTGGAACCGCCTGACCTATTCCCATAATCCTCCTCCTCATTATTATTTTATTGCTCTCATTTCCAATTCATTTCCTTGAAACCAATATACATGCAAGAAGCCGAGCAGGCACTCAATGCCGCCAAAGTGCTTCAAGGTGTACTTGGCCTCCTTCACCACAGTCTCGATCTTGGCCACGGCCCCTGCCGCAAAGGCTTTCTCTGTGGCCAGGAGAACCGTGCGATTCTTTCCAGCTTCCCCGGCCATGGCGTCACGGGCTGCGACGTCCCTGAAATGTCTGGAGGAAAAGGGGGTTCAAAATTGGAACTGACGATGCGCGGTGAATAGATTTGTACCCTCTGGTCAACGTGGCAATGGATAGCTGGGAAAATCTTTCATAGTATAGCGATTTTCCATGATTTTCCATTGCCTCAGATCACCAAATGACCAAATGGATCCAAATGGTACCAGCACCAGTACCGGTACCAGCACAGGTGCATCCCCCATCCCCCAATAATTGGACCTTGTCGACCTCCTCTTGGCGGTCCGGAGCAGGGCTTAGACCCGATGGCCTGGCGACGGCGCCCTCGCGGCTCACCCGCATCCGGCCACAGCGACAAGCGCATTGCATGAATAAAACGCTGAAGTCAATTGGAATAGTCAATCATTCTCAAAAGAGTTGTCAGAGGTCTTCACTTTCATTGGGACATATTGGGACCATGCATGACTGTGAACTGAGAGCTTTCTTAATGTCTCAACCTAAGCGTGCAGATTTGAAGATGAGGAAGCAAACCTCATCAGGAAAAGGATCCAGATGCAGTCAAGCTGCAACTGCGTTTGTGTCACTCAGCGACCTTTGAAAGGTCGAGTTGTAACCTGCAGCATAGCGGCCCAAAAGATCGCAAAATAACATGACAAATCATGACAAGTGGTGTGCCCAACCAACAAGGGACTGACATGGAACAATGGACATGCTGTGAAATATGATGAATATTGAAGATTCTATGAGAGCATGACAGGGAGATACAGGGAGGCATGGCTTCCTCTCACCAAATGCATCCAAGCTGCATGTCTGAAGGAAGCACTGCCAGGGCTTGTGGCATCCAATGGGACACGGGTGATAGTCTCTACCTTGGTGCCAGGAAACACAAGAATCGTTGCAACTTCAACCCATCCCCCCAGCCCAATTTGTCAACTGAGTCAATCTGTCCGCACGCCTTTTTCCAATGATTTGCAGCCCATAGTCAGTGACCACAGCCGCCTTGGGCCTAGCCACACATCAGATTGCCTTCGCGGTAGCAAAAGCAGCTGCCCATACCGAACTGTGGGATACCTCTTGAACCATACAAGCCGCCTTCATGCTGGACCACCACACCTGCATCCAGGTCTCCCTTGTTGATGAACGTGTACATGACGCCCTCATGGCAATTGGACACTTCAATGGTGCCAACTTGTCTTCCAATCATCACCACCACGGGGGGGCACACCTTTCCGGGATAGCAATCCTTTGACAAGTCCAAGGTGGTTTTGTCCTCATCAAACATCACCTCATAAGCTCCTGACCTGTCATCCTGTCCGATCAAATACTTTCCGGAAGCGGACACGGACACCCAAAGGCAACTCAGCACCGCCCAACTCACCACGTGGCTGGCGATCATGGCGACCCGTGGTGGGACGCGTGTGGCTGAGTGGAAGAACGGCTGCGGTAGAAATCACGGTGTGCTGTGCAAAGGACCCCTGGCACGTCTGCAGCAAGTCTGCAAAATACAAGCTGCAAGAAAACACAGCCCCTCAACTAGCATCAAAACTTTATCAAACGATCTTCAACAATCTTGCATGAATATATTGGTTCAATCTCAATCACAAAATATCCCAAATATATGATATAATCACACCATGGGTCAATTGGGATCATGCCAAATTGGGGGTTCTTCAAACAAGACTTCTCCGAGCTGCTGAGAACGCTTCAGCCACATGGCAGCTAGGGACGTTCGCTCCCAGTTCGGCTGCAGCTTTGGCAAAGCTCATGTCTTCCTTCAGTGGCTCCCGACTCCGTCGGGCAGAAAATCTCATGGTGGGTCATCATGTTCACCATTGAAACTGACAGTTCTGGGCTTGCTCCGTTTTTGTGACAGACAAAAAAAACAACCCCGAGATATCTTTGGATGGTGCCTCCTGTCATCTTCACTCTTCACACAAACACACACACACACATTATGTATATGTATATATATATATATAATTTGTGTGTACACACGTATACATATCTATACATAATCATATAAATATATGATGTAGACACACATATTACGACATCTGCTCGTGCAACACACCATAAATATCACAACAACTGACTCTCATGCCTTGCAGCTTCCACTTGCGTTGCCCCTCTCACTATGTGTTCCCGCCGAATGCTGCTAATGTGAACCCTCAAGAACTGTTTACATTGTTCTTAAAATGGCAATCCCCCCCAAAAAAAATAATCACAGAATTTCCTGAATTTGGTTGACCTTCTCAATAAGTTCCAAACAAATCCACGGATGGGAATGTCCAATAGTTCAAGTCCAGCCACGTTTCGCGGCCACCAATCCATGTCGACCCCATCCGTGCTGGCCCCATGCATTGCGCCTTTCGCACGAGGTGCTGTACTAATAATTGATGGAGCTAATTACCAATCCCAAAACATGTTGAAAATATGTGAGCCGATTGGTTTTGCATCATCTAATAGAATAATCATGAATAATCATGAATAATCTATATGATTCTTCCTGGGCATAAAATTAAGATGCGTTTGAACCTGTTGTACCATTGCAGTTTCCCTCCACAAAAATAATCCTTCCATGCCCAGACCAGGAACATCCTGGGAACCAATCAACCATCCACCACTCATCCAAGAACTTTGACTTTCAGGGAAGAGCACATTTTCTGTACAAAGGATCTGAACTTGACGTTTTTTTCTAGGGAAGCCGGTCACCATCGTTTTGAAAGTCAACACCCATACCATACCCAACATCTGGCCATGCTTGGCCCATCCCATACCCGTTGGGTCGTGCCACAACGTCGTGGGGACACCAAGGTGGTGCGCAGAAGTTGAAATAACTGGAATAACACGGAAGAACTGGGGTCTGGGTCTATACCGTGATTTATGTGCTTTGTCTTAATTAAAAGTGACCAGAACTTGCACTTTTGACATTGACGACTTACTTTTTTGGATGATTTGGAGCAATGAAACATGGAGGTTTGGATGTCTTTAGCTTTGACCCACAAACATGAAGCCCAACCACCCCAAAATGGGGGAACCTCGACCAACAAAAACCCAGGAATCTTTCCACCCCGAATCTCAATCTCCTCGGCCCCGAGGGTGCTGATAGAAGCACCTGGGGCTGCGATATGCCATTCGTGGCCAGTTCATTGCCCCATGATGGGTGGAACAAAAATGAGCATTACAACGAGTTTTTTTCCCTGGATTTTTGGGATTTTCTACGGATTTTTTTTTACCAATTTCTTACCTTGGGCATCCCTCTCTCTCCATGGCCGTGTCAAGAGCTATGACAAAGCACAGCTGCTCAGCTTCAATACTTGCTGACCGAGCTGCCCATTCCACACATGTTGGGGTTGATCCCAAATCATAATAAAACTCATCAACGCTCATCAGGCGCAAAGGATGACAAATTTCTGTACTCAATCCCAAGGTAAGGCCCACATCCCCAGCCCGGTGGGAACGCCTCAAGTTAGCCTTGGCGGCTTAAGCCCGCCACGGACAGATGAAGTTCCAAGTCCTCACGGTGCTTGACATATTTTTGTCCAGGAAAACCGGAAAGGAAACTAATAGTTTCCTAAGGAAACATAAGGAAAGCATGGTTGTCAGGTTTTTTGCAAAAAGCAGTTCTGGAAGAGGGATAAAGCTGCAAAATGTCGCAAAGAATTCAGGGAATTTAGAGACAACCTGCAGGGAATGATGTTTGATGATGTTTGGTGCTTCTAAATATATGATCAAAAATGCGGGGTTCCTATGAAATTTCCATCCAACTCTCGAAGAATGTTGGGAATGATGACTCTTGTAACAAAATTGATGCATTTTCAAATCAAAAATGACTTGGGGCATCTTGGGGCACGGGTTGTAAAAGATTTGTTTTGCATCTCAAGGTTTTTGCATGGCTTTGAAACTTTGCAGATTTGAAACAAGAAACAAGCACGGTGATGGTACACTAAGGAGATTGGCTTTAAAAACTAGTTTCAAGCAGAATCATCCAATAAATATGCTGTCTGTGTGCAGTGGTATTTTGCAAAGAGTTGCGACATTCTTTGAAGAAGGTGGCCTCTCTCTCTCTCTCTCTCCCTCTTTGCACGTTCCCTTGAAGAGACTGCAGCATCTCTTGAGGTGTTACTTTCACAGGGACTTTCAACGTGCACGCCATTCCTTGAAAAAGGGTAATGCATTCCATTGTAAGAGCACAGTGCACAGCACTGATTGAAATAATTAGAACCTTCTGATGCATGCAGTCTTCCTCCGAAAAGCAGATGGTGTTCCTTGGGGAAAATGAATGAACACGAGGCATAACTGTGCGCAATGTGTTCTAATTTTTCTCCCTTTGAAACGGAGTGCAAAATATGACAATCGAACTTTGTTTCAATAAACATTCCTGGTTGGTGGTTGCAAAAGTATGCAAAAGTCTATGTGTATCCTTTGGTGTATGCAGTACTCTTTGGAAAAGGAGTCAGCCATTTGATGTAAAGAGTCCAATATTCGCTTACGAAAACGAATGAAACATTACTCCAAACTATATAGAATTCTTCGATGCGTGCGGGGCTCTTTTTGAGAAAACATGTCGGATGGTATTCCTTAAGGTTTTAAGAATGTGTTACGCCATTTTGCGCAATTTTCCACTCAAAATAAATGACACATTTGATTGAAGAGAGCGTAGTGCTACTTTACAGAAGTGATATCTTCCTTTCAAATGAACAGCCTACTCTTCGCCAAACAAAAGTGAAACAAACAACTATTTTGAAACTATTTTCTAACACGGTACTAATTTCAAACCACACAGAAATGTATATGCATCAGGCTTCTTCACGGGAGTACTATGGCAATTGAATAGAAATATCCAAAAACTATCGGATGCTTAAGTGGCTTTATTAAACCAAAGTTTACTGAATGGGGGGGAATCTGTTGCAAGACCCCGAGGATCTGAGTCAACTCTAGGATCATCATCCGAAGTATTCTTGACAGTGGAAATCGCATCAAACCATACTTCGGATGATGACGGTTTAACAGAAATTGATATTATTCCATTTATCATCATGTATCCATCTGAAATCGACCATCAAACAACCGCTCATGGGGTTGGCTCAGGTGACACAGCATCTATGGCTCCTGGTGATTTCGTTCATGTAGGACCAGTTGCTTTCCCCAAAAACACTAGCAGCAAGGCCCAAATAGCTCCGATCCAAAAGCACCATGGAGAAGTCACAGCATCAACATGCTGGAATCGGATGGAATCGCTGCCTAGCGGATCGAAATCAAGTTTTCCAAGCTCATATAAAGGCAGACTGGAACATGTGATGCAACATGGCAGAAGAAACCACGCACCAGGTGCAAATTCAAAACACATTGCATGGATTTGCTTGGTGTGTCAACTGCAAAATTGCAAAGACACAAGACACCCTGGCCCTGGCACTACTTTTTGTCGAGGCATGTCGAGGCAAGGCATTGCGCTCGCTGGCGCGATATCCTCTAAGAATCTCTGGTTGGTGGTTGAACCACTAGTCCCACAAATATTAGTCACTTGCCATTGTATTCATTCAAATTCATGCTGCATGCTGTTTACACAATTACAATTCTTTGACAGTTATACCTCAAGTTATACCTCAAGTTATACCTCAAGTTATACCTCCAGTTATACCTCAAGCTATACCTCCAGTTATACCTCAAGCTATACCTCCAGTTATACCTCAAGCTATACCTCCAGTTATACCTCAAGCTATACCTCCAGTTACACCTCAAGCTATACCTCCAGTTATACCTCAAGTTATGCCTCAAGGTATACCTCAAGTTATAACTCAAGTTATACCTCCAGTTATACCTCCAGTTATACCTCAAGCTATACCTCCAGTTATACCTCAAGCTATACCTCCAGTTATACCTCAAGCTATACCTCCAGCTATACCTCCAGTTATACCTCAAGCTATACCTCCAGTTATACCTCAAGCTATACCTCCAGTTATACCTCAAGCTATACCTCCAGTTATACCTCAACAGTTATACCTCAAGCTATACCTCTAGTTATACCTGAAGCTATACCCCCAGTTATACCTCAAGCTATACCTCCAGCTAAACGTCCAGTTATACCTCAAGGTATACCTCCAGTTATACCTCCAGTTATACCTCCAGTTATACCTCAAGCTATACCTCCAGTTATACCTCAAGCTATACCTCCAGTTATTCCTCAAGCTATACCTCCAGTTCTACCTCAAGCTATACCTCCAGTTATACCTCCAGTTATACCTCCAGTTATACCTCCAGCTATACCGCAAGCTACACCTCCAGTTATGCCTCAAGCTATACCTCCAGTTTTACCTCAAGCTATACCTCAAGGCATACCTCAAGCTATACCTCCAGTTATACCTCCAGTTATACCTCAAGCTATACCTCCAGTTATACCTCCAGTTATACCTCAAGTTATACCTCCAGTTATACCTCCAGTTATACCTCAAGCTATACCTCAAACTATACCTGAAGCTATACCTCAAACTATACCTCCAGTTATACCTCCAGTTATACCTCCAGTTATACCTCAAGCTATACCTCCAGTTATACCTCCAGTTATACCTCAAGCTATACCTCCAGTTATACCTCAACAGTTATACCTAAAGCTATACCTCCAGTTATACCTCCAGTTATACCTCAAGCTATACCTCCAGTTATACCTCAAGCTATACCTCAAGGTATACCTCAAGCTATACCTCCAGTTATACCTCCAGTTATACCTCAAGCTATACCTCCAGTTATACCTCAGTTATACCTCAAGTTATACCTCCAGTTATACCTCAAGCTATACCTGAAACTATACCTCAAGCTATACCTCAAACTATACCTCCAGTTATACCTCCAGTTATACCTCCAGTTATACCTCCAGTTATACCTCAAGTTATACCTCCTATACCTCCAGTTATACCTCAAGCTATACCTCCAGTTATACCTCCAGTTATACCTCAAGCTATACCTCCAGTTATACCTCCAGTTATACCTCAAGCTATACCTCCAGTTATACCTCCAGTTATACCTCCAGTTATACCTCAAGGTATACCTCCAGTAATACCTCCAGTTATACCTCCAGTTATACCTCAAGCTATACCTCCAGTTATACCTCCAGTTATACCTCAAGCTATACCTCCAGTTATACCTCCAGTTATACCTCCAGTTATACCTCCAGCTATACCTCCAGTTATACCTCCAGTTATACCTCAAGCTATACCTCCAGTTATACCTCCAGTTATACCTCCAGTTATACCTCAAGCTATACCTCCAGTTATACCTCCAGTTATACCTCAAGCTATACCTCAAGCTATACCTCCAGTTATACCATGTTAATCATGTTTGTTTTTTGTTGGATCATTATATATCCCCCAACCAGAAAAATCCACCAAGTGGATCCACCAAGTGCGTCACTTGCCGAGGCAAAGCCGGTGAAGCATCACAGCCTTCTCTTTCAAAACCCCCTCCACCGTGATGTCCCGAAGTTTTAGTTCCAAACCTTGGCTCAGAAGATTTCTCTTCAGCTCCTGTTGAACCTGGTCAGGATGAAAATTTAAGTTTACGACCTGGAAACGGCCGGGAGGTTTGACCTCAAACAACGATGAAACCAAGCAAACATTGCTTAAGGAAATGAAATGAACCCGTAACATGGTCCAGCCGAGCTCTGAAAAATGCTCAAAACGACGCAAACAGTCTTCCAAATTTAAACCATCTTAAACCATCTTAAACCATCTTAAACCATCTTAAACCATCTAAGTTGAACTATCTGACGATCTAAAACCATCTTCTTGCTAAATCCTCTTAAAACATTTCGGCCCCATCTCCTGCTGGTCACCCCTCGCCATGGCAGCCAGGGCAAATATGGCCAAATCCTGGACGCTTCCTCCGCTTGGTCGAGATGAAGAACAGGTTTCGAAACCAAAAACAATCAATCCATCCATGCATGCGAGCATACATACATGCATACATGCATACACTATATATATATACAAAATATAGTATAACATATAATTCATAGTTACATTATGTTATATTGATTTATTGCCAATAGTTATGATATGTTTTAATCAATCACCACTAGTGATTGATATTGATATTAATAAAACGGTTCTATATAAGTACGAAACTACACCAAAATCACAACAGTATATATTTGCCACCAAATGGGATAATCATCTAATTTTGCTTAAACAATCCCATTGACATGTACTTATGGGTTACGCCAATTCTATCCTAAAATGGAAGGAACATAAATAACACAAAACAAAGAAACATGAAACCGCATCCTTGAATTCATTCTTGTCATTTTTTCACCTGTTGTTGTTAACATGCCATTTCAAGAAAACATCGCACATAATCAACCATATGTAGCTATCGGTATATCATGGTATATAGTGGCATAAACATTCATAACCCATAACCCCATCCCAATGATCCCGGTTTAGCCGGTCCTTCCCCCCAGCGCAGCAAGCGACACATCGCTGGCAGCGCCGCTTGGGCCTCCGCGCGCGCACGCGGTGCGTCGAGCTCCACCAAGTGCGCCAAGGCACCCAGGACCCAAGCGGCAGCATCCTCCACGCTGCCACTGAGCTCCAGCGTGGAGCCTGTGACGTCGTGCCTTGCCGGTGCCGGATGGCGGATCATGGGTAGGAAGTGATTCATGGTGATGATACGATGGTAAATGATGTTTTTTTTTTAATGATGATTATATACTGATGGTTCGTGATGGTTAATGAGTGCTAATGGCTACGGATGGTTACTGATGGTTAATTAATGATGGTGATTAACGGTGATGGATGGGATTACCATATGATTAACCCCCTGGGAATTTAACACTTTGCTATGGAAGCAACGGAGTTCGATCATTTACCTGTGAAAGGCATTAAAACTCGGTGATTTTCTATAGCGATGTTAAATAACCGGAGGGTATGACCCAATCAAACATGGCTGGTTGCCGAAATCCCCGAACAAAATGGCTCACTGATGGTAACATGACGCTCTCTGATTTTAAGTAACTGGCTTTAATCGACCATCGCATGTGTGGACGCGGAAAATCAGGGAGTGGTGATGAAGTCATCCCAACTTTGTTCGTTTTGCGGATATGCCAGAAATATCGAAGTATTTCCAACTCTTGGCTTGTGAAGGCCCCAGTGTCAGTGGGCAGAAAAACAGTCAACCCTCACAAAAAAATCAGAATATCATAGAAAATCTGCATTGAAAGCCAGCGAGTTGCTCTTCACAGAGGTTCTGCAGTGAAGCTGCCAGCAGTTTCACCGCGCCGGCCTCAGCAGCCTGTCTGGCTGCAGTCTTCGAGCCCGCTGTCAGGTTGGCCAGGGCCCCAGCGGCAAAATGGCCTGCCTGGGGATGGCGCAACAAGGGGACCAGCCTCGAAACCAGACCTTTCTTCAGCAACTTGTCCCGATCTTTGGCCACCAAGGCCAAGTTCAGCAAGCCCATTGAAGCACCTACAAGGGATCATCTCCGATGCCGGTGATGCTCAAAATCCTGAAATCGATCAAAATGCTATATATATATATATGTATATAAACATATATTGCTATATACTATATTATTACATATTATTATTTAATATTATATATATATTATTATATACAATCATCGCAACAATTGTTTTCCGGTTGCCACCATTCTGGCATCCGCCGCCATCAAATTGCCATCATTTACATGCATTGACAAGTACAGGATTTTGCTATCCTTTACTTCTATTCACTGTCCTTCAGTATCTTCTACCAGTCTACCATCATTTTGTTCAACCCCCCTGCCTTTGGCCAAGTCGGAATTGTCAAGCAAAGACCACAAGGCCTCAGGTGCTCCCGACTCTTTGACTGATACGCGTGAAGCTTCACGTGACGCCAAAAGTGCCAGCGCGCGAGTTACATGTTCTCGAACACAGCTGGGTAAGGGCGTCTTCTTGTTCAAAAGAAACGCCAACCTGGTTGAGATAAGCTAAGTGGCCCCTTCAAAATCAAACATGATAAAGTATCGAGGATATAGGCCGGGGAAGGAACATACACAAATGAATAAAAGACAAAAATAATATGGTAAACCAAATGAACGGCCTGAAAATTGGAATGGTAAATATGGCGCCAGAAACCTTCGTGGCAAATCCGGCAGTTCAAGAAAGACCTTGGCCACGGATTCGGGACTGTTCTCCAACAAATTTGCCAAAGTGATGGAGGCATGGACTCTCACAGCAATGTCCACAGCACTTTCGATGAATGTTGCCTCGGGTTTTGCAGAGCTCCGGGCTCGGCAGAACTGACAGTCATTGGGGATGGCACGGTGATAAACTGAAACATGTTCAATTTTTGTCCAAGCTTTATCACACTGTTTTGTCCCCCATCCAACATACCAATATATAGCACAGATAATATGGGTCAACAGCTCTAAGATCACCGTTTTCAAACAACCTGATCAACCCAGTTTGGGTTCTGCCGTGATGCCCCTATACAGGGGTGGAGACGGATGAAACAAATCTAGCATTCAAATCCTGGGGTGGCTCACAAAAGGCAATATATAACATATAGTTGACCAATATGGTGCAATAAAACACGTGCAATGATATATCATGATATTATGCCCCCAACATGGTGCAATGCTGGGTCAACTAATGAGGGCATAAAACACGTCTTCTTTTCCAGCAAATCCAGGACAATGGCTGACATGAACTGGATCATTTTCGGATGGAACCATGATGACAAAATGGCTTTACAACAAAACAATTTGACACAACCTTATAAAACCATATAAAACCATATAAAAACCATATAAAGCCCTATAAAACCCTATAAAACCATATAAAACCATATAAACCCATATAAAACCATATAAACCCATATAAACCCATATAAAACCATATAAAACCATATAAAACCATATAAAACCATATAAAACCATATAAAAACCATATAAAACCATATAAAACCATATAAAACCATATAAACCCATATAAAACCATATAAACCCATATAAAACCATATAAAACCATATAAAACCATATATATAACGCCATATAAAACCATATAAAACCCATATAAAACCATATAAAACCATATAAATATAAAACCTTATAAAACCATTAAAAAAAAACACATATAAAACCATATAAAACCTTATAAAAAGCAAGCAGCAGCAAGTAGCAGGCAAGCAGCAGGGAAGCAGCAGGCAAGCAGCAGGCAAGCAGCAACCAGCGTTTGCCGCCTTGAAAGAATGATCAAATATATTTTTCAAAAATCAACGCAATAAAAAACATGAACTTTTTCCAGGCGCACGGCCCCAAAATAATGAAATCGTTCAATTACTAAAAGTTGTGGTGATACCAAAATTGAACTCTTTCCAGGCGCACGGCCTCCCGATACGACTTTTACAAGCTGATACGACTTAACGCTAGCGCTTGTAGAACCTTATAAAACCATATAAAACCGTATAAACCCATATAAAACCATATAAAACCATAAAACCATATAAAACCTTATAAACCCATATAAAACCATATAAAACCATAAACAAACAATATAAAATAATAAAAACCTTATAAACCCAATATAAAACTTTATAAAACCATATAAAACCTTATAAAACCATAAAAAAAACATATAAAACCTTTTAAAAGCCATAAAAAGAACCATATAAAACCATATAAAACCTTATAAACCATATAGAACCTTATAAAACAATATAAAACCGTATAAACCCGTATAAAACCATATAAAACCATATAAAACCATATAAAACCTATAACATACTAGAATGATCTAGTCTACAACATTCTATAATGTAGTACATTATAGTACATTATAGTACTATCACCTAAATCACTGAAATACAAAACACGTCAAAAACACGTGAAGTCCACAAGCCAGTTGCCGTGGGTTTGAGGATGCCAGCCTTCAACAGCCTCGCTTTGGCAGGGCCCACGGACGCCAAGTTGGCCGCCAGCGCCAGTGCAGCCAGGGCGGCGCGGGGCGGTTGCTGGTCACCGGGCTTGAGGACGTCAACCAATCCTTGGTGGCTGACCCATCCCGAGACATGGCAAAAACATCCCGACGGATCTTTCACCGTCCCATGATTTCTCAAAAACGTCGCTCTCGTGCTAGCAAAACGCACATTCTGGGTCCAAAAAAGTTTCTTAAAAAAGTTCATCGCAAGATGCTTTCGTCAACCCTTCCAGCATTTTGTGGTCAAAAACGTTCCGAGTTCGGTTTTCCTTTTTTCAGCTCACAGCTTTGCCAGGTAGAGGCCCGTTTTGGCCAGCAGGTCTGCAGAGTTCATCTCCCAGCGCCATTGTGCGCTGCGGATGTACTTCCACAGCAAGGGATTGGGTTTGGATCCACACTTTGAAGCTATCTTATCTGGCACACCAGCTTTCTGAATGGTCCAACAGCTGTTGACATGCCCCACCCCACCCCACCCAACCCCAACGCCATGCGTAACGTAGCATCAACTTCATGACGCAAGTGCAAGCGAACGTTGACATGCCCCACCCCACCCCACCCAACCCCAACGCCATGCGTAACGTAGCATCAACTTCATGACGCAAGTGCAAGCGAACGTTAACATGCCCCACCCCACCCCACCCAACCCCAACCCCATCCGTAACGTAGCATCAACTTCATGACGCAAGTGCAAGCGAACGTTAACATGCCCCACCCCACCCAACCCCAACCCCATGCGTGACGTAGCATCAACTTCATGACGCAAGTGCAAGCGAACGTTAACATGCCCCACCCCACCCCACCCAACCCCAACCCCATGCACGTAGCTTCATGACGCAAGTGCAACGAACGTTGACATGCCCCACCCCACCCCACCCCAACCCCATGCTTGACGTAGCATCAACTTCATGACGCAAGTGCAAGCGAACGTTAACATGCCCCACCCCACCCAACCCCAAACCCATCCGTAACGTAGCATCAACTTCATGACGCAAGTGCAAGCGAACGTTAACATGCCCCACCCCACCCCACCCAACCCCCACCCCAAGAGGTTTAAGATGATATGTACCAAAAATGTCGAATTTGTGGGCCGGTAAAAGATCCGACTGCAAAAACATGGCAAAGCAATATCAAAGGAATGGTTTATCTGATATTAACATATAAAGGTTATGATATGGATGTAAGATTTGATATGAGATTGTATGATTGTTATATCTAAATATGACCAACTAATCTCATTGGGTGGGATAAGATTTAACGAATCAATTCTGGGGATTACCATCCTGCTCTTCTAAAGTGGCATAAAGCGGAAAAACATAATATTCAGAACCACTTATCAGGATCATAGTCCGATGATTTGAAATTGGAAGATGGTTTAGAAACATGGAGCGTCTTGAATTGTCAAACACCCAGGATCTTTGTGTCGGAGTCAATTGGTAGACCTTGTGGCACAGGTGCGGAAGCTGCCAGCACAAGTTGGCCAACAAACCAAAGACCTGCACAGGCCGAGGATTCACTTGGAAAATGCCTGCTGCGAGATCCAAAATGCCAGCATCAATGGTGTCTTGGGCCAGCATAGGTCCAGTAGCAGCCACCAGATTTGCCAATGCAGCGCAGCAATTCTCAGCCAAACGGCTTTGATTTTCCTCTATGGACACTTGGAGTAAGCGAATCAACCTCTGCAGTCCGGCTGCTTTGTAGGCTGCTTTGCGACAATTCTCACTGTGACCACTCAGCAGGTTGGCCAAAGCAGATGCAGCCTGCTCACGCAGTGCTAAGGGTGAATCCTCATCAAGCAGCTTGCACAAAGCTTCGACTGCGCCATTTGCACCCAAAGCATCTTGCGCCCCGGCAGCTGTCAGCAGTGATGTGACACATCCCAAAGCATTCACCAGCGTTTCGTTGTCACCATTGGTTAGTGGTTTCATGATTGGAAGTAGAGTAGCAGCTGCTCCTTCTCTAAAGGCGGTTGCAGAGTGATCCTTCTGCCCCACCAGGATGTTCCACAGGGCATAGGTGGCATCTCGCACACTTCCCTCCGATCGACGGCCAATCAACCGCACCAGGGCTCGGATTGCTCCAAGTCGGGCAGCCCTCAGCTGGGCTGGAGGGTTGTGGAAACAGATGTGCCCAAGGCCTTGGGCGGCCAGCGACGCTCTCCTCGGATCCATGTTGATCATGTTGATCCAAGGTCGCTAGGGGCAGATTTTGGGACTTTGGTGAGGTTCGAACATCTCCTAGGGAAACGTCATTTACCCAGCCCCTCCAAGCCCTGTCCTCATGTCCTTTGACAGAAGGGCCACTAGTGGTTGCAAACCATCAGCTGTCATCAATGCTTCGGCCATGCGTTTGTGCAACGGAGCTCCTGCTCAAGTCAACCACTTGTATTCAATTACTAGCATGCCTTGAACATTTAGCAAGCGATATCAAACCTGAAATTCAAAGGGCTGCACACTCACAAACACAACTCACATGCAAATGCTGACGACTTTATCCTAAAACATCTCACAGATTCTCGCAAACTGCCCCTCCCCTCTCATAACCGGGTCCAACCCGCCACAAGCAACAACCCAAAAGACCAACATGGAACCCCAAACTGAGGGTCATCCTGGTAATGTCAACCCCACGTCAATAGACTCTGACTATCAAGTGGGGGTGTTACTGTTACCCCCTTCGTTTTCACAATTTATGAAAACTCATGGGGTGGGTTAACAATTCCACCAGCCCAAATCGCGTTTTCACCTGGTGCCGGCATTTCCAAAGATCGCATTCCAAGCTCTGTCAACAGCTGCAACGCTTCGATTTCCCCCGTCTGCAGCAGGGGCACCACTGCACCCGACATGCCGGTGGTGATCAAGCGATCGCAGGACTGGCAGGTGAGGCCAAACTGATATGACCTGGACCTGATGATGTGGTGTAAAGCACATAGCATAGTATATAGTATATAGTATATACATAGTATGCTCTAGCATTATACCCATGACGTCGAGAGACTTTCATTCATTGGAAAATTGGAAATAATTTAAATTATGAAAAAACAAACACAAAAAAACAAAACCAAAAAAAACAAACAAACCAAAAAAACAAACCAAAAAAACAAACAAAAAAAAAACAATAAAAACACATTAAACAAAACAAAAAACAAACAAAAACAATAAACAGCGCACGGTTTGAAACTCACAGAGACTTTGTGCTTCTCCCTAATCGCCGCAGCTTGTTGATACCACTTGCTCTCAAAGTCCACAGTCTGCTGCGTTGCCTGCTGCCAAGCTGCGACCAAAACTCCCAAAATCCAACAAGGGCTGCCTAGTCAAAGCTTCAAACAGTGCGCCCACTACCCTTGATGGGGGCAAGCAATCAGTCTAGGGGGGTGCCCCGGCGGCTCGTGGTACCTTTTTTTTCCTCCTAGGGAAAAAACGAAAAAAAAATCCAAAAAGGGTACCACACAAAAAAAAGGGTACCACGAGCCGCCGGGGCACCCCCTAGACTGATTGCTTGCCCCCCATCAAGGGTAGTGGGCGCACTGTTTGAAGCTTTGACTGGGCAGCTCTTGTTGGATTTTGGAAGTTTTGGTCGCAGCTTGGCAGCAGGCAACGCAGCAGACTGTGGACTTTGAGAGCAAGTGGTATCAACAAGCTGCGGCGATTAGGGAGAAGCACAAGTCTCTGTGAGTTTCAAACCGTGCGTTGTTTATTGTTTTTGTTTGTTTTTTGTTTTGTTTATTGTGTTTTTATTGTTTTTTTTTTGTTTGTTTTTTTGGTTTGTTTTTTTTTTGTTTTTTTTTGGGTTTTTTTTTGCTTGTTTTTTAATTATTAGCTGGTTTCCAAAAAAATGAAACATTTTGCGTCATAACATTATACTACTATAGTACCAGTAGTGCCGCACAAGGCAGTGGCGGAAGTTTCAAGGATAGGACACTATAGGCGAGGTGAGTTGTTGTGATGCGTGGATGGCAGAGCGAATCCACTGATGGACTGAAAGGTGGTTGGAGTTGTGCTTTTGGGAGTGGTTTCAATGGTTGCAGTGGTCGCCTCACTCACAGCTCCTGGATGTTGTGTGGTGTAGTGCAGTAGTTGTAGTTGTAGTGGGGTTGGTGCTGTTGAAGTTGTATATAATGTTTTAGTTGTAATTGTAGTTGTGGTGTAGTTGAAGTAGTTGAAGTTGTAATTGTCTTAATTTTAGTAATTGTAGTAGTTGTAGTTGTAGTTGCAACTGCAGTTGTACTGTAGTTGTAGTTGTAGTTGTACTGTCGTGGTAATTGTAGTCGTAGTAGTAGTGCAGTTGAAATTGAAGTCGAAGTTGTAGTTGTAGTTGCAGTTGTAGTGTAGCTGAAGTTGTAGTTGTAGTCGTAGTTGCGGCTGTAGTCGCGGTTGCAGTTGTAATGTAGTTGTAGTAGTTGTTGCAGTTGTAGAAGTAGTTGCAGTTGTAGCTGCAGTGGCACTTGTAATTGTAGTCGTAGTAATTGTAGTCGTAGTAATTGTAGTTGAGGTTGTAGTTGTAGTTGAAGTGTAGTTGAAGTTGCTGTTGTAGTTGTAGCTGTAGTCGAAGTGTAGTTGAAGTTGTAGTTGTAGTGGTAGTGTAGTTGTAGTTGCCCTTGAAGTTGTACTGTGGTGTAGTGCAGTTGCAGTTGTCTGTCTATCTGTCTATCTATATATCTGTTTGTCTATTTGTCTTTCTGTTTATCTATCTGTCTATCTATCTACCTATCTATCTATCTACCTATCTATCTACCTATCTATCTGTCTATCTATCTATGTGCAAGCTATCCAAAACGAAGGAATTCTGCGAGACTTCCTCAATTTTCGAAGTTGACAACATCAAAAACGAAACAATTCTGCGAGACTTCGGAAAGTTGAGTGCAGAGCTGACGGCCTCGTACCAGTGCGCTTCCCGATTTCTCCACTCCTCCTGTCTAAGGTACAGCGCCTGCCACGAAAAAGTGGTGCCAAGTCATGCGAAGTGCTGCGCCTGTCCCGCAAGATCATCTTGCCAAAACAGAAGATCTTATGCCCCAAAATGCAACCCCTTTCAGGAAATCAACGCCCTGACCTCTTAACATCTCTGATGAACATGTCTCTTGTACTGCGCCTGCCACACGAAAGGCATCTTGCCAGATCCTCTGCATATGTCCCACGCCTGCCATCGTTTTAGGAAATGCCACAAAACCCTCACGTTTTGCTCATTTCTGACAAGGTGCATAGTCCCTTGCGCCTGGCATGCAAAACGACATCTGAACGTCCAAAAGTGCTCCGCAACGTCAGTTTTTTAACACTTTTGACTTCGAAATGTGCTTCCCGCCACAACCGCGTGCAGTTTTTCGACATCACAACTTCATCAACTTCCAAAAGTGGTCCGAACATGGTTTGTTTTGTACAGTACATTTTGACTTCGAAATGAGCTTCGCACCACATCGGCGAGCACTTTTTCGACATCGCAACATTTAAAAGTGCTCCGAAGCTGAGGTGTTTGTGCATTTTGACTTGGAAATGTGCTTCGCGCCACAACGGCGTGCACTTGTTCGACGTCGCAACTTCTAAAAGTGCTCCGAACGTGGTGTGTTTTGTACATTTTGACTTGGAAATGTGCTTCGCGCCACAACGGCGTGCAACTTTTCATCTCTCATCTGACCACATGGCTCCGCACCCGCCGCTTTAGCGAGCCTACTTTTCGACCCTCCGGGGCCACAAATCATTGGAAAAACGCAGTGTTTCGCGACTTTCTCACCTTCTCGCGCACCTGGAAATTCTTTCTTCTGAGACTTTCTCTTTTTTGATCTTCTTTCTTCTTCTCTTCTCTTCTCTTCTCGGACTTTTCCCATCTCTGCTTTTCATCTGTCCATATTGTCGGAAGTTTGACTTTTAAATTTCCAGTAGTACCGCGCAAGGCGGTGACGGAAGTTTCAAAAATAGGAAACCTATAGGAAGGGTTGGTTGTTGTCTCACGGATGGCAGAGCGAATCCACTGATGGACCGAAAGGGGAGTGGTTGCAATGGTTGCAGTGGTCACCTCACCACAACTGCTGGATGTAGTGTGGTGTAGTGCAGTAGTAGTTGTAGTTGTAGTTGTAGTTGTAGTGTAGTTGTAGTTGTAAGTCGTAGTTGTAATGTAATGTAACTAGCGTAGTGTAGTTGCAGTTGCAGTTGTAGTTGTGGTGTAGTGTGGTGTAATTAGTGTAGTGTATTGTAGTGTACTGTAGTGTTGCGTACTGTAGCGTGGTGTGTAGTCTAGTGTATTGTAGTGTAGTTGTAGTTGTAGTGTAGTGTCGTGTAGTGCAATGTAGTGGTAGTTGCAGTTGTAGTGTAATGTAATGTAATTAGTGTAGTGTAGTGTCGTGTAACGTAGTTTAGTTGTAGTTGCATTTGTAGCTGTAATGTGCTGCAGTTGAATTAGTGTATTGTAATGTAATGTTGTGTAGCTGTACTTGTAATTGTAGTTGTAGCTGTGGCGGTGGTGGTAGTAGTAGTTGCTGTTGTAGTAGTTGTAGTGTAATTAGATGCAATTTGGCTAGTGTAGTGTGTGTAATTAGTGTTGTGTAATGTAGCGTAGTATATTTGTACTTGTGGTTGTAGTAGTAGTGTAGTGTAATGGTACTTGTAGTTGTAGTTGCAGTTGTAGTTGTCTATCTATCTATCTATCTGTCTATCTGCAAGCTTGAAAACAAAGCTATTCTGCGAGACTTCCTCAGTTTTTGAACTTGATAACATCAAAAACGAAACAATTCTGCGGCATTCTGCGAGACTTCCTCAATTTTTGAACTTGACAACATCAAAAACGAAACACAATCGTGCGAGACTTCCTCAATTTTCAAAAAGTGGACAACATCAACAATTCTGCGAGACTTCCTTCAAAAATGGGAAGTTGAGTGCAGAGCTGACGGCCTCGTACCAGTGCGCTTCCCGATTTCTCCACTCCTCCTGTCTAAGGTACAGCGCCTGCCACGAAAAAGTGGTGCCAAGTCATGCGAAGTGCTGCGCCTGTCACGCAAAATCATCTTGCCAAAACAGAAGATCTTATGCCCCAAAATGCAACCCCTTTCAGGAAATCAACGCCCTGACCTCTTAACATCTCTGATGAACATGTCTCTTGTACTGCGCCTGCCACACGAAAGGCATCTTGCCAGATCCTCTGCATATGTCCCACGCCTGCCATCGTTTTAGGAAATGCCACAAAACCCTCACGTTTTGCTCATTTCTGACAAGGTGCATAATCCCTTGCCCCTGGCACGCAAAACGACATCTGAACGTCCAAAAGTGCTCCGCCACGTCAATTTTTAACACTTTTGACTTCGAAATGTGCTTCGCGCCACATCGGCGTGCACTTTTTCGACATCTCAACTTCCAAAAGCGGTCTGAACTTGGTGTGTTTTGTACATTTTGCCTTCTTTGACTTCTAAACTTCCTTCGATAACTGCACACACACACACACACATATATATAATATAATATATAAACCACCCAGACCAGCCCAAACCCAAAATCAGTCGCTAGACGAAACTTGGGTCTAAGTGGGTGAAAAGTGTTGAACTTTAGGAGATAACAAAAATCATGGGCCTGAATATCTTCAATTCCAGTTCAGAAGTAAAAGCCTGGGTAAGGGCACAATCCGGTATGTCTGCATTTAGATAATAAACCTGTAACCGATAGATGTTGGTCATGTTGAGTATGAAACCATCCAATTTTGTTATGTACCCCCATACTTCCCAAAGTTTGAGCATATATAACATTCACCAGGGTTTTTGATCTGAAAACCTTCCAAAACCATCCCAAATTCCAACAAAACAACTCCGAAGCTGCCTCAGCTTGCGCCACATGTCTTGCCGCTTCGGCCACGGCCTCCACCTCCTTCTCCCGCACACGGCGGATGAGGCCTCGCGCCTGCTCGGCAGAGAGCGGATCCTGGCTGGGTCTGGTCGATTTCCCTGCAAACATTGGAGGAAAATCATGGCAAGTCTGGTAAAAATAAGTTGGATATGCCCTACGAGTTCTGTAGCATCTGAAAGGTGTACAGGAATAATTACACCACCAAACAATAAAGCCCTGTATGGCACGGAATCGGGATATTAAGGTACCTTGGGCAAAAAGTGATTGATTTGCCCTTCAAGAAAAAGGGCGCAATGGGACTCTAAGACTCTAAGCCACCAAGAGATGGTGATAGTTACCGCGCCAAAACAGAGCAACCGCTCAGCCACTCAGCCAATCTTGTTTGTTTCGAAAGTGGCTGCATGGCTGAGTGGCTGCTCCAGCCACTCTACCAGAGTGGCTGACTCTGGTAGAATGGAGCAACTGAGTTGCTGAGTGGCTGTACCCAGAAAAACACACCGCGCGCGCTCAATCTCAATATGATCATGGATGACTCACTGATAGATGGATTGAACATGATTGAAAGAGAGAACGAGATAGAATATACCGGGGCTTTCACGTGTAGTAGAACAGTGCTTGGGCACATGAAATTTCAGGTCCGATTCAACAACTTGCGGCACGACCCTTTAATTTCCAGGACTTATTTTACCTGATTCTGAGGGGGAATTTGTGCTCATCTTGATGCAATTTGCACGGTTTTGCGCGCATCTGCAGATTTTTAGTACACTTTTTGCACTACGATTTCTGTGCGTTTTGTAAAAGGCACATCCAAAAAAGTCCGTTTTGGCGATTTCCGATCGTTTTTCGGAAAAGAAAACATTTTGGCAACAAGGAAGTCTAAGTTACAAATTCGACTTGCACACAAATTTCAGGTACGTTATACGGTTATACGTTTGAAGATCCAGGTGTAGATCATGATCATTCATGATCATGCATGAATTGATCTACTGAATCTAATTTCAGTCTGCTTTCGCACCAAAATCTTGTGACTCCTTTTCCTCTTCGATGTACTCTTCGGGCACTGGCTCTGCTGACTCCGTGAGCTCCGTGGGCCCCATGGGCTCCGTGGGCTCCGTGAGCTCTGCGGGCTCCCGCAGGTGCTCGAAAGCGGCCACGGGAGCGCTGAGGCGTAGGAGGCCGCGCCCGGCTTGCTTGGCCCGGGGGAAACGCAAAGCCAACCTCAGTTTTGTGAATGCGACAGGGTGACAAGTCAGTGACAAGGTGATCATTTCATAACTTCTTAGGTTTAAAGTTCAAATATAATGTCTTTATAGCGTGGAAAGTGTGAGGGATCCTTCTTATTCACTCCACAATATGTATCAATATGATGTGATGTATTTGTACCAATGGGGGTAAAGGATTCATTTTCATTAGGGGTGGGAACCCACAAAGATCAAAAGCAACACTGGCAAAAAAAAGCAACCCGATCTGATCATGGCAAAAGCAAGCGGAAAAGAAATGCGTGGTGGGGCAAACCCAATCACAATAAAGACAATAAAGCCATTTGAACTTACACACTACCCAAATACTAAAATTGGGGCTGACTCACGTTGATTTACGATTGGGTTTCCAACATGTTGAACTATTTGAAGACATGTTCAAGGTACAAATGGTTTCCGATCGCCTCTCCTTCCTCTGTCAGAGCTGAGGACTGCTTTGGACCTGCTGGAAACATAGCTTCAGCCAGGAGCATCTGTTCCATGTTTTCTGGACGTGGAGAGTAATCCACCCACGTCCCATCTTCTGTTTCATTCCACCAATAGCGTTCAGCCAGAAAGGCTGCACCAGTCACATCATCCAGCAGATCGTAGATGGCCCAACCCTCGACCACTTTCAACTGAGCCATTTCTTTTGCCATTTCCGCATTCGCAAAGCTTTGCAGAAATCGAACTTCCAAACCATCCAGCGGCTCATCTGGCTGTGGGACTACACTCACTCGTTTGGCGGCACACGGCCCTCTGGCTGTCAACAAGGCACGCAAGCTACGGCTTTCATCATAAACATCAGGCCAGTCCCTGGGAAAGCAGTGCGGACCAATCTCTGCCACATCCTCAGGGTGGTCCTCACCAATGACCACAAAGTCTGAGCCGTCCAACCAAAATCCCAGGCTGCCAGCTGAGGCAACCTGGCCTTCTGAATCAACAAGGGCCATGGCTTGTCATGCCACCATGGACGGAAATCATTGTGCCAGTGCTTGAAGCTTGAGGAGCTAAGAATGTGGTCAAATTACGCACATTGCAAACATCAGGCAAGAATTGTGAAACCACTATTTCAGCTGCCTACATGGGGCATCATCATGCCCTGGGGATCCTTGGGGCATTGGACATAGGTGAAATCCACCAAATAATTACAAAGGACCTGAAACCAACCTTGTCGAATTACCACTTCCAGCCAAAAATCTTGCGGCGAGCAATGATCCTCAAAGGGAACATGGAAGCTGATGAAACTGGTTGGGGAAACACCTTTCTGGCAATCTTTATACTGGAGCTTCCTACGGTTTCAAATCTGTTTTGTGGTATTTTTCAAATTACAAACTTTGCTTCCTGACTCAGTTGATGCTAAAGCCTGCTCCATGGGAAGAAGCTGCTGAAATATGCCGAAATCCTGTTCAACTCGATCTTGGAGATGGAACACCAAAGCTAATGGACGATGGACACACCAACATTCACCATGCCGTATCCATACCCATTCCCTGCGCGGAACTGCCTGTTCAATGACCAGTGCCGTGGATCTTTCTGGAAGCTGGGTCACGGGTTCCTGACGTAGGCACTGACGTTGTGAAAGCATGTCAAAGCTAGTGCTGGCGGCAATGCGGCAAGGTCACAAATAGTTTGGGGTCGGAGCAAAATAAAGTTTGAGATAAAACAAAATGGAAGATTGCTGAGCCCAGAATTTTAAGTTGTTCACTTGAGGGCGACTGCGCGACAAAGGCGCGAGGCTACCTGCATTGGAAGGGAGAGCCTACGTTTTACTGTAAGTTTTTCATCGTTTTTCCAACCCTGTGAGTAATAAATGCACAGAAGGCATTCTTCCCCCAAATCCCTGTAATTGTTTCAAACTTTGTTCAACCCTGGTTGAATGACCAACGGAGGCTTCGCTGATCTCCTCCCAAAAGTTTGTGGCTGTTTTCTTGCCACTGCTGCCACTGCTGTATGGATGGACCTGAGATTCCGACCCAAATTTCTTCACTTTTCCTCACCACATGGGGAAAATAACCTGCGAGCAACCTGGAAGCAAAACAACTGATCCAGAGGGAACTTGGGAACAGCCTTTGGAAATGGCGGATGTTTCACTTGCACAGGCCCTTCTCAAGGTTTCTATTCAATTTCCTGCCTGAGTTGGATTTTTAACCACCAAAAGATGTGGAGTAATTACATGTAATTACTATCAAGTTGGAACTGCGGCTTGCTGTGTCAACAATGATGAGCCGTCCTAGCCAGGAAATTTTTTGGAACATGTCTGACTCTCCAAGTAAACATTGTTCGAAACCCTATGTGTTTCCATTATGTACTGGTTGGTTAAAGGGATTCTCGGCTGTATATTTTGTATAAAGTAACGGTATGACAATGACTGCCTATAATCTTCAAGCAACGGGGGTGTCTTGCAGCCACTGCTCAGTTGAGGGATTGCACAGTCGCATTTTTAGATGTCCGGAAACCCAAAATGTTCTTGTGAATCATCAAGCCAATTCTACGGAAAACATAATATGGAAAAACATGCGGTATTCATAACAGGCGAAAGCAGGATCAGTATCAGGATATCTTCGCCTCTTCGCTGTGCCTTTCTTTGATTGTCGGATCGCTGCTGCGAGCTTTCGTTTAATGCAACGAAAAGTATGATAATTATTTCAGTAAACTCATTCAAACAGAAACATTGAAAACCTATCTGGACTTGACTTGGCTTCAGAAATCTTTAGTCTGAGGGATGTTCCGAAGATTTCGGGCCTGTTCAGAGCAGCATTGGTCGATGGCCCAATGGCTTTGGCTGCCCGTTGTTGAGCTGAGATCGCGGCAGATGCCGCGTTGGACCCCCACGGCTGCAGAAATTGCATGAAAGGTCCAGACATCGGTTATCCCTCCTTTACTTTTGAAGCACATCCCAAACGGAATAATTACATAAAAATCGATTGGGCAACTGGTGAAAACTGCGCCAAGATGCGCCAAGGCAACATCCCAGGGAGTCCCATATCAGTTGGTTGGTCCATGTTTGGACTCAAGTGATGCCAGCCCAGCAAAAGCAGCAGCAACCAAGGTTCCCCACACTGGAGTTTCCCAAGCAGAGTTGCAAATAGCCCAGCCTGGCTGGTATTGCAGGTGCCCTGCCAAGAGCCCCTTAAAAAAATCATTCCAGCGCCAAAAAGATATCTCTTTCCTCCGTTTTTAACAAAGCAGTATGGCCCGGTGTTCATTGAGGGTGGTACCCTTAGCCTCCAACATTTTCCCTGCATATTTCCACATAAAATGGCTCTTGTGACATGTCCATGTGCATTTCGATTGCGCTGGCTCGCGCAAAATGTGCGGCTCACTTCTGGGGCGCGGCAGTTTTCCTGGAAAATTCTCGCGTCAAATGGCTCTTGTGACATGTCCATGTGCATGTCGAGTGCTCATACAGAAATCTTGCCAAGGGACCTCTTATAGGGAGCTTGTACAGAGATCTTGGCAAGAGACTTGCAATGGAGATCTTGGTCAAAAGATCTTACCAAGAGACCTCTCACAGAGATCTTGCCAACAGAACTCTTATAGAAATCTTGTACGAAGATCTTGACAGGAGACCTCTTATGGAGATCCTGTACAGAGACCTGGTGAAGAGAGCAGAGGTCTTGCTCGGAGATCATTTTTTAGATAGCTTGAATAGAGATCGTACTTTGAGGTCCCTTACAAAAATCTTCTGTGGAGATCTCCTATAGGCACCTTGTACAGATAGCCTTACACAGGGATCTTGCACAGCAGCTTCTACAGAGAACCTGTCAAGGAGATCTTGCGCACAATCTTCTACAGAGATCTTCACAAATCAAAGGGAACTTGCAGGATCTTACCAGGGTCGCTCTTGTCCTGCTAGCTTGCAGACACTGATGATTTTAGGCCCTTTCCACCCTTCCCTTTAGAATCCCAACTGCACACTGTTTGGGGCCTCTTGCCGGGATAATTTATATATATATATATATAATCTGAGAAGGGGGGAACGAAAGCCAGCATCCCATCTATCCCTATGTTCCGCAATATTTTCCACCCAGAGACTCTTCACCCAGAAACCCTTCTTGCACATACTTTTCACCCATATACTTTTCACCCAAAGACTCTTCACCCAGAAACTCTTATTGCACAGACTTTTCACCCATATACTTTTCACCCAGAGACTCTTCACCCAGAGACTCTTCACCCAGAAACTCTTCTTGCATAGATTTTTCACCCAGAGACTCTTTACCCAGATACTCTTCTTGCACATACTTTTCACCCATATACTTTTTACTCAGAGACTCTTCACCCAGAAACTCTTCTTGCACATACTTTTCACCAATACCCCTTTCACCCAGAGACACTTCACCCAGAAACTCTTCTTGCATAGATTTTTCACTCAGAGACTCTTTACCCAGATACTCTTCTTGCACATACTTTTCACCCATATACTTTTTACCCAGAGATTCTTCACCCAGAAACTCTTCTTACACATACTATTCACCCAGAAACTCTTCTTGCACATACTTTTCACCCAGAGACTCTTTACCCAGAAGCTCTTCTTGCACATGCTTTTCACCGATGTACTTTTCATCTAGAGACTCTTCACCCAGAAATTCTTCTTGCACATACTTTTCACCCATATACTTTTAACCCAGAGACTCTTCACCCAGAAACTCTTCTTGCACATACTTTTCACCCAGAAACTCTTCTTGCACATACTTTTCACCCATATACTTTTCACCCAGAGACTCTTCACCCAGAGGCTCTTCACCCAGAAACTCTTCTTGCATAGATTTTTCACCCAGAGACTCTTTACCCAAATACTCTTCTTGCACATACTTTTCACCCATATACTTTTCACCCAGAGATTTTTCACCCAGAAACTCTTCTTGCACATGCTTTTCACCAATATACTTTTCACCCATAGACTCTTCACCCAGAAACTCTTCTTGCACATGCTTTTCACCAATATACTTTTCATCTAGAGACTCTTCACCCAGAAACTCTGCTTGCACATACTTTTCACCCATATACTTTTCACCCAGAGACTCTTCACCCAGAAACTCTTCTTGCACATACTTTTCACATACTTTTCACCCAGAGACTCTTCACCCAGAAACTCTTCTTGCACATACTTTTCACCCATATGCTTTTTACTCAGAGACTCTTCACCCAGAAACTCTTCTTGCACATACTTTTCACCCATATACTTTTCACCCAGAGACTCTTCACCCAGAAACTCTTCTTGCACATACTTTTCACCAATATACTTTTCACCCAGAGACTCTTCACCCAGAAACTCTTCTTGCACATACTTTTCACCCACATACTTTTCACCCAGAGACTCTTCACCAGAAACTCTTCTTGCACATACTTTTCACCCATATACTTTTCACCCAGAGACTCTTCACCAAGAAACTCTTCTTGCACATACTTTTCATCCATATACTTTTCACCCAGAGACTCTTCACCCAGAAACTCTTCTTGCACATACTTTTCACCCATATACTTTTCACCCAGAGACTCTTCACCCAGAAACTCTTCTTGAACATACTTTTCACCCATATTCTTTTCACCCCGAGACTCTTCACCCAGAAACTCTTCTTGCACATACTTTTCACCCATATACTTTTCACCCAGAGACTCTTCACCAAGAAACTCTTCTTGCACATACTTTTCACTCATATACAGTACTTTTCACCCAGAGACTCTTCACCCAGAAGCTCTTCTTGCACATACTTTTCACCCATATACTTTTCACCCAGAGACTCTTCACCCAGAAACTCTTCTTGCACAAACATTTCACCCATATACTCTTCACCCAGAAACCCTTCTTGCACAGACATTTCGCCCATATACTTTTCACCCAGAGACTCTTCTTGCACATACTTTTCAACCATATACTTTTCACCCAGAGACTCTTCACCCAGAAACTCTTCTTGCACATACTTTTCACCAACATACTTTTCACCCA